TAAAAAAACAAAGAAATCCAAGCCTGTCCCAAGCTGATTTTAACTTAACCAAGTCCAACCGACTGAGACAAACTGCCTCATCTAACCCATCACAAACGATAGGTACGGGCAAACGAAGTCTCTTCGTCTCGGGTCCGAGTCCTGAATCCCGGTGTCCTGGATGCGAGTCCGAGTCCAGGTCTGCTTCCCGGTACCTCAGATCCAGACCTGAGCTCGAGTCCGTGTTTTTTTTTAGTGGGCTCCAAGTCGGAGTCGGATTAATTTGTAAAAAAGGTTCGACGAGTCCGCGATTCGAAAGGCCATGAGCCCGAGTTCGACTCCGAACCTGAGTCTGCCCGGACTCTGACGTGGCGCCCCCGTGACAGAAGGCACGTCGGGGGTGGGTGGTTCGTTATATAAATTTCTGGCGTTGTTCAAGTATATGCTACAGGTATCCCGTGATGTATGTTAAACATACTTTGGAGCGTTTTTCCAGGATGGAATAGCCTGCGATAGACGACAATCGACCGCCTGCCGTCCCTGAAGTGGTTCTGTATCTTAAGTATCGTGGTACACAAACCGATGTATGCGAGGCATGTTAACTCGCTTCACGAAACTGCGGTGCGCCTGAGGTTTGAGAGCTGTTTTATCGCTCTGTTGTCACATTACATCACGGAAAAGTCCGACGCAATACATCGATATAATGACAGAGAGCTTCAGCGAAGCGTTTTTATAGGCCTTGAGTGAAGCTGACAGCGAGGACAGGAAGTGATCAGTCGGTTTTCGAACCGCGGCCCTTCATTAACGGTGGGTTGCCAGTTAACCTAGGGGATCAAGCTAGTGTCAGAGCCGTCTGTACAGAATGCCCAGCAAAATGTCTACTCTCAAAGCCTTCAGCAGCTGGACTATAGGAATATCTCAAAAACTGAAAAACCCTCACCCCCCTCTGCAGGATGTTAGATTCAAATGTAGCTGCACCGTTACTCATCCCAAAGCGTGAGCACTGTTTGACCCGACCGACATGGAAAGGGAAGCTGAGAACTGGTTGCAAGGGGTTGACCTGGCACGCGGCGGCCATGCCGTGACATTGTACGGAACCAAGGTCGCTACGCTGACCTGTGTGGAAAAAGACAAGCTGAAAAATCCGACGAACAAGAGTGAAAGAACTTGCTGTTGCCCTTAAGGTACGAAGCATGGGCTTCTTTCCAAGCCAGTTTGCTTGCACAAGAAAAGCGAAAAACTTTTGCATCGCTAGCTGATGTTGGCTGACAAGAAAAAAACAGACGTCTGTTGCCGTGATCGCGTGACGACGGGGTATTTTGTGTAAAGCTTAGTTATCTCGCCATGTACATGCCCAGATGCGAAATTTGCGCATAGCCCGTACACCAAGCCTTGTGTGCCTGTAGCACGCTGCGCTCGCTCTTGCACCGCGTGGCGACCCGTGCACTGAACTGGAGCACGGTCGGAAGCAGCGGACAACTAGCAGTAGTTTCACCGGCGTCGTTTCGTGCCGTGACGAAATGACGCACTGGGTTTCTTGCTCCAGTTTTTCGTGCCACATTGAATGCGGAATCAATGTCGTTACAAATGTGTCCCATGCCCACGTCTATTTAGTTCCGGAACATGGTACAGGTCCTGTATTGTGGAAGTATTGTTGCTTTCCTTTGGGCCAATGCAACGTTCAATTTTATCTTCGAATCACCTACGTCCTGCTCTGTTGGCCTAGCAACGTGCAGGCGTTGTGTTTCATTAGGCGCTGGTAAAATGAATGAACGACTTCAGGTTGAACGCATCTTGGATGAAAGTCAATGTGAACGGGAACGCCTGCGACGCCAGACCACGCTTAAACGCTCCAGCTTCGTTAGCGAACGTTCGGGCGTTTGCCTTCTCCGCTGCAAAGCCGCATGACCGGAACTGTCATGGTGGCTAAGACTCGGACACTGCACGCTGTAGTTCCGCGTCGTCTAACAGGCTGCAAAAACCAGTCAGTAGTTTGGAGCGCAACGTTCTCAGCCCCTGTTGAAAGTAGTATGCATGCACCCTGTCCTGTTGTTGATATATAAACCGGATCGCCACAAACGGTACAGCCACAGTTGAAACACCCACCGACCATGCAGGCGGTTCTCAAGGTAAGAAAACAGGGTGCAGCTGCTGAGCGTGGTGAATCCCATCAATTCCTGCCATTTGTAAGTCACTTGACGTGGAAATTGTTCGGCATTGGTGGGATGCACTTCCACATGAAATTAATTATTTTCCCTTTCGAAGAAAGTAAAAAACCACTTGCTGTACGTACTGCGTACAAACCGGATTTGTTTGTGATATCGGAGTGCTCGGCAGACACCATATATTTATTAGGGAGCCTTGATTGAACACTCTGTAGATGAGACTGTGTGTTTCCGGGAGCGACGTTACACTGTCTTTCGTGATTTGACAGAACGTGTCGGCGATTGATTGGCTGTCATATGCCACTCCAACATTCGGCCAGCTCTGCTTCTGCCTGTTAAGGGCATAGCAGTCGTGTTGATTGTTGCATCGCGAATCGTGGTGTTTCGTGAGTAAGTCTATGTGATGCCCTATGAGCCGCGATGCGTCGTAAGTCGTGGGTCGTTCCGTAAGTCGTTCCGTGAACCGTGACGTGTAGTGGGTTGTGTCGTGAGACGTGACATGTCGTTACCCGTTAGAAGTAGTGCCATGAGTTAGGTGACGTGACTCGTTATTACCCGTTATAAGTCGTGGCATGAGTCAGGTGACGTGACTCGTTGCCCGTTAAGAGTTGTGACGTGGGTCAGGTAACATGACGTGTCGTTGCCCGTTAGAAGTCGTGGCATGGCCCTGGCGACGTGACGTGTCGTTACCCGCTAGGAGCCGTGGCATGAGTCAGGTGAGGTGACTCGCCGTCAGCCATGGCGCCGAGGCGTGTCACGAGTCTCGCGGAACGTCTCCGCAAATCGTGGATCGTGACCAGTTGTGTGTCGTGTTTTGTGCGGTGAGTCCCGACGCGTCATACACCCCACGGGTGACGGTTTGTATTCTCTTGTGAGGACCTTGCCTCACCCCCCCCCCCCAATGTTAAGTTAGGCCCCCCGGTGTTGGCTTGGCCCCCCAAATGTTTTTGACTGGAATAGTACAAAAGATGTAGGTAAAATATGACCATAACACGACGACAGTCCTCTTTGGTTTTTCAGCGTAGTGCCGTCTCGTACCATTTTCGTAACAAAAGTCATGGCTGCTCTCAACACAATATACAAATAGCAAAAGCTGAGCGAACAAACGATGCAATAAACGTCACATACATCGGGCCATAAGGCACGGGATGAATTGTGAGGGTGAAGTGAAAAGCTCTGGAATATGGGGATAACCTGAGTCCTTCATGGTTACCCCCGTCCCCACTCCCCACAACTAAAATGCGTGCCGCCCGCCATTGACCGCCATGGGAGAGCGCCTCCGGCGCTCTAGGATGGCTTCTAAAGGGACGCCTTCACTTCCCGATCAGAAGAAACGTGTGCGTCCAGTGCCTGCTCTCTGGATCCACCCCTGCATAACTTCTATGCCGCTTAAATTAAGGACTACCTTGTAAACTATACAAATGTTAAAAACACACATTGCCTTTAATAAAAATAAAGTGGGCTAAATCCGATGAGAAAATGGGGGCAAGGGTAGGTCATCGGGCCTACAGTTCGACCCGTCCCAACAACTTACAAAAATTGACTCCCCTGGTACATCCTGACCTATTTGGAGTCCTCACCAGCAGCGTGTCGTGATGTGTCGTGAGTCTTGACTTGTGAGTTATGCCCTCTTGTGTGTCGTGGCCGGACGTGTATCGTGGCCGGACGTATCCCGACTTTCCGTGCTTTGTGACGAGTCTTGGATTTAAGCGTGTCGTGAACCGTGACGTACGGTGCCCTTCACCCTATCACGTGTTATGACAAGTCACAAACGGCGACATTCATTGAGCCGTGGCGTGCCGTGAGCTGTGACGTGTCGTAAGTCGTGAAGTGTCATGATCTCTGACATGTCGTGAGATGTGGCATGTCGTGAGTCGTGACGCGTCATGATCTCTGACATGTCGCGAGTCATAACTAACTGTGTCTCGGCCTAACACTTGGAGCGTCGGGACACATCGTGAGCCGTGACGGTGCATGACGTGACATGCTTGCAGAGCCTGCTGCCGCTGGCGCTCGTGGCCTACGTTGGGGCCGACGGGGGGCACGGCGGCGTAACAGGGCACCTGTCGAGCGGCGGGGGCCTAGTGTCGGGTGGACGAGGTTACGGCCACACCGTCCACACGAGCGGCTACGGCCAGTCGCACCAGTCGGCGCCACACTACCATCAACGGCCCATCAACCTGCACCAGCGGCTCAAGCACGACGTCGTCACCGTCCTGGTGCCCAAGAAGCGTTACCACAGCCACAGCGGCGGATACGGCGGCAGCCACGGCGGGCACGGCGGGAGTTACGGCGGAAGCCACGGCGGGTACGGCGGGGGTTACGGCGGAAGCCACGGCGGGTACAGCGGCGGCTACAGCGGTGGCTATGGCGGAGGCGGCTATGACGACGGGTACGATGGAGACGGCTTCGGCTACTTGAGTTACGGTGGCGGTGGCCACGCGCCATACGGGGGCTACAGTCGGCCCGGCACCTACGGCGGCTACGAGTCCGACTAGGGTCAGGACAGCTGGTCCCAGCGGCGCTGCTGGTGATGTTCGCCTCTGGAGTGTTTTAAATGAATATCCCTGTGCCGTCTGATGCATACCGGTACACATCAGGCATGCGGGCAAGCGAATGCGTCAACGATGCTCTCGAGTTGAAAATGCCGTTTAATTTCTTACGTTTGAATTACCTTCCTGCGACGCAAGTAGCCTGAGCCTGCCGGGGAATGGCTAGCGCACAATTAAAACAAAGTTTTGGGCTGTCGCTTCGTCTGCGTCGAAGTTTAGTTGCCTTCGGCCGCGCATATGCAAGCAGGAAATACTTCCCAAACTTCGTAAAAAAATTGCGTGTTAGGTCATCAGGTTACAAAAGTCAGATCAGAGCTTGTGTGTCATACTACAACAAACCCATACTGTTTCGTATATTCCAATGGTCTAGTTTGCGTCAATGGGAGCACGATTCTCCATACATGCTGTATGGACTTGTTACAACGATGCCTATGTCTGTCATAATGGCGGCACTGTCGTTCGCTAAATACATATCGTTTTCATTGAGTATGAGTGAAGGCCTCGTCAGCCATAGTGTCTATCAATCAAGTTTGGAGCAGCTGGGCCTGGCCCTGGATGACATAAAGCCCGGAGTAAAGATCATTTTTGGACTTGGATATTCAACCGCTGATTGCTCAAACATCTCCTTCCACACTACTTGTCCCAACCCAAACAATGTTGCAGTGAGCGCACCATAGCTCCCGTTGGATGGTACGTACCGGTTATCGCAGGAAAGGTCTAAACAACTGGCATATGACGCAGACACGCAAGTTTTCCGAAACAGCTCGTCCAATCGTCTTGCAACCTTCCCCAATTGATTCTGTACAATGCGATGAGCCATGGGAAGGCAATATCGAAGGCAATACCTTTGGTCAAACACCGCAAAAATCCGACGGAAAAATTTTACATGCAATTGCAGACAACTCAGATCTCAGAACCTACCAATACGATCACTGCCAAACTGTACCATTCAGTACACCATCTACCCTAATTCTCTGTGAAAGCTGCAAGTATGGTGCAATTATATGAAGAAGCTGGAAGTATGGTGCTGTTTATAATCTTGTCTTTTCATTTATGCTTGTTCCCAAGAAAACGTGCAGCTTGGTTAGACTGGCCTGATAGGACTGAATTTCTCCGTATCGGAGGTGTTAAGCGTGGCGACACCAATCACAACTCAGCGCATAATTTTCAGCACGACACCTCCGCTAAGAAGAAATTTAACCACATAATGCAGTCTTACCAAGCTCCACTTTTTCTTGGGAACAAACATAAAGGAAAAGACATAACCACAAATAATGGCACCATACTTGCAGCTTCAACAAAGAAGTAGGGTAGATGACGTACTGAATGGTAAGATTCGGTAAGCTTTGGTAAGATTTGGTAGTTAGCGGCGTGGTAGATGCTGAGCAACAAGTAGTCTGCAAGCAAGAATTTTAGACTTTGTGAAATTTGAGGACTTTTGACCTGACCTAGAGCCTCCAAATTTGGCACTCATGGGCAATCTGGTGCGGGGCATCCAATGGTGAAGGTTTGGCAGCGATTGGTTTGGTAGGTTCTGAGTTACAAGTTGTGTGCAAGCAAAAATTTGGACTTTGTAAGATTTGACGGCTTTTGCCTGCCTTAGGGTCACCAAATTTGGGCTTTTGAGGATAGAATCAGGTATGGCGTATCCAATGGTGAGCGTTTCATAGTGATCGGTCCACTAGGCCGTGAGATCTGAGCTGCGTGCATTTGCAAATAAATTTTCCCTTCGCGTTTTCGAGGTGTTTGGCCTCAGATCATGTCTCGATATTGCCTCCCCATTACTCACCTCATTGCTCGGAATCGATTGGGGAAGGTCTTAAGGCGATCGGACGAGCCGTTTGGGAAAACATGCGCGTCGACGTCATATGCCGGCTTTTAGACCCCGCCGTTACCGCAGGTGTGAGTTTTTCTAAGCTGCCGATGTCCCTTTCACGTGGAAACTTCGCATTACTGGGCTAAGTTAGTTGAAGTGTGCACTGCGTATTAAGAGCGAACGATCGGACAGATGGGACGGATCGAACGCGGCCAACAGTGCATTGGACAGTGCGCTGAAATTGCACAGCATTCAAAATAAAAGTAAAGAGATTATTGTACAATGTGAAATGGTAGCCTTAGATAACTGCAGTTATGGCGCTGGAGAGACGAATTTGGACCCCCGCATTGTCCAATCAGTCCAGAATTGAGATATATGCCTACAAATCGTCCGTACGTTCTTGGAACGTTATTTAACCTCGCTCGGATCCCTAAACCTTGGGCGATACCTGAATCGCATTCCGGTATTCTGGAGAACTTGTGCGTAGGGCGTCGCGAGGTTGTAGGTAAGCTGCATCGATGTTCTTCGGGCTAGCACAGCACATGTGTGCTGACCGTCGTTTAATGCGAAAATGTCAGGTACGAGCCGTACGAGTAGAGCACTACAGTCCAAAATCGCATGGAGATTAATGACCGCTTTGAAACAAATCAACTATTTGGCTCTCTAGATGTACATGACAGGCTCCTGTTTTATCATTGCTTACGCGGTGTGATATCTTAACAAAACAAACATTGGTGAGCAATGTAATATTGCACTGTCAGGTACCAATGTAAATGATGGATGAAATCCTCTCTCCATTATGCTGACTGTACTCATCACTCCATGTAATCTATCACTGGGGCTGGTGATGAATCCATGTGTGATGCATTGTTGGTCACACTTGGCACATTGGGTAGATAAGGTAAATGGTTCTAATATCATGGCTTGTCTATTTTGATTTATCTGCTGGTTGTAATACAACCAATGATTGGTAAGAGGTGTGTTTGCAAGCACTAGTGAGTGAGCTGCTATTAATTTGTATATGTCTGGCGTGCTTACTCGTATTGTTGGATGTGGTTGGTGAGAGTTTGCATGAGCAACATTCTTATCATATATAGAGAAATGAATAAATTGCTTGACACAGATTGTTGAAAAGTTGTGGACTCAAGGTGACAACTGCTGGAAAGGCTGCACAGCACAACACCATGGGAAAAAAGTGGACAAAATCAACATGAAATTTCAAAGGAACAAAAGCCAGTGGGGATCAGGTTGAATCAGAGAAAAGGACAGAAATTTAATCAGGAGAAAAGGTGAAATAGAGTGAAGTGGCAGAAATTGCAAAATAATAATATCTGACATGGGTACATGTTTTGCCAGATTTTTTAGTAAACCCCACCCTGGTTCCCAGATCCTGTTGGTTGTCTTGCAAACAGTGCACCTTGGTACCTGGTCTTCACTGTTCCTTTTGCTTTTGAAAATATTTGTCTATAGGTCCCACTAGTTCATCCACAAACATCAGGCCCTAGTTCATGTTTCCTACTGCTTGATTTCCAAAGATCAGGGCATGGCTCATGGTTCCCACTGGTTCATCACAAACACCTGATAGTGATACCTGGTTCCCTATGGTTTACTCAGAAGAACATACCAGTTCCTGTCTCTCATTGGCCCATTTGGAAACACCTGTTCAGACTGCCAATTGGCATATATCTACCATGGATGGTGTGCCATCTGAAGTACAATATATTATTTATTAACCTATGATATTTACAAGTAGACTATTCATAATGCAACTGCACTATTTAGACACCTTCTGGATCATGACCGTGGTTCAAGGTAATATCACGGTTCACTTGGCTCTTGTGGATTCCCTCTGCATAATTCCAGGCTGGATCTGGGTTCTTGCTTAGTTTGGGTCCATATTTCTTGTTGGATCTTAATTTATGTTAGATCTTTGTTAGTTCCAGCATGGGTGTGGGGTTTTGCTGAGCCCCTGTGTATATTGCAAGCCAGATATTGGTTTTTGCTGGATCCCTTCACCTACTGTCAAGACGGTTACTGGCTCCTGCTGCCTCTCTCAGCACAGTTCAGGAGCTGGATCCTGGTTCATGATGGATCTTTGGGTTGCTTTCAAACTGGTTCCTGCATTCTTCTGTTCCCAAACCAGGGACTGATTCCAGTGAAGATATTTTGGGGACCAGGCTCACATCTGCTTGTGTGGCTGCTACAATGTGACAGCTAAGTGATGCTAGTGATGTGTCTTTGATGTCATGGGGTGCTTATCTATTCATTCTGTTCATGTAAGTATTATGTTATGCATGATATAGATTACATATGTAATTTTTTAGGGTGTGGACTGTAATTTCAGAAAATATTTTCAGAGTGTGTTGCTTGTAACACACTGAGATTTTATCTGCAACTATGCTAAAATTTGCAACGTAAGGTTTACCCATCATCTGAATGTCTATTGACTTATACCATGGCTTCACTTGCTATGAACTTTTCTTCTTTTGGCTTTTTCTATTTTGACGTTTTTGGCTATCAAATTTGTGTCTGTTGACCTTTGCAGTTAAGCTAAGATCCCTGTCAAGTTTTATGCCTGCCATATTTTTGGTCCTTCAACTTTTCATGTTCCAACCTTTATCCTTGCCGGCTGTTATCCCCTTTTTGACTTTTCGTCCTTCGACTTCTTCTTGTTCCCGCTATTATCCCCGTCAACTAACGATGTTTTGTTTTCTCATTTTTTCCGACTTGCTTTTCCATGCCGTTTTCTGTCCCTATCGCCTTTTATCGTTCGCCCTCTTGCGTCTGACGCTGCCATTGGGAATTGCCATTTCATGTCTTGCCAAGGACATGACATGATGACCGACACTGCCCTGTCTCGCATCCATATGGGTACATTAGGTGTACAGTCTGCACCTGCAGAATGGTCTGTGCTGCAGACTATTGTCACCCGTTTACGGTACATGTCTTGCCTAAGCAGTGAATCATTAAAGCCACGATGTCGTTCAGAATGAACAAGACGAGCAGTGACGATAAGCTGTGGTTCAGCTGCGTGGCATCACCTGGAGATGGATGTCTCGAGACGGCCTGAGGTGCCCGGCGGCTCGGTCCGCCTGTGAGCGCAGTGTGACCCTGTACAGGTCCGTCCCACGAGGCATTCCGTGCTCGGGCCGTCCCGATGGCGCCGTGCATACACGTCCAGCTGTGGATACATTCAGCCATACCGCATAGTCGGTGGGGTGGCATCCGGGTAATGCAAGGAAAAGTAGACCATTGTTCATGCATTTCTTCATATTCTCTGAAATCTGAAACAAAGGCGAGATTTGGCTTATAACCCTAACTGTTTTCTACAAAATTTTCGCGCACCATTGCCAGTCCCTCCATCACATGACATATAAAATCCACAGGCTTATTATATTTTTTCCACTCGGTTTTCTATTTAATTGTAATTTTTGTTTATATTGCGATTAAGCACGATTCGCTGTTTTTTAAAGGCACCTCGCACCTCGGCTCCATGGCCTTCACCACCATTTGCTCTCACTGGACAAAATCAAGTCACCCGAGGTCATTTCATAACCTACGTGCCGTGTCCGTTGGCGGTTGTGAATTGGTAGTGTTCTTGATTAACAATGTCATTGAAAGTCAGGGCATCCAGGCAGATGCTTTTGGGTCATTTTTGGGCACACAACATCTCTTTAGTGTACTTGGCAGGCGCTTGAAGAGAACAGCATGAATCCATACGTCAGCTGACGTTATTGGTGCCGTTTTTTTTAGTTGGGGCCAGTGGGGCGTGCCAGCAGAATGCAAGGCGCCAAAAAATCAGGAAAAGATGGGGAGGGGGGGGGGGTTCAATGTTTGGCGGTTGAATCGGCCGGGGAGAGGCCCTCGCGCCGTCAGCTGTTCCGCGTGTCCGATCGCCCCCGACGTCAGCGGGGCCCGGCTCGGCGACGCAAGTGGCGGCGCGGCGCGTCAACCGGCGCCGAGGCGCACGTGTGCTCGCTTGGCGGTACGGCACGCACGTGTTGATGCCGTGCACAGGCGGCGGCCGTGCGGCGCCGTGGCGGCGGCCGGGCCGCGTCGGCCGCTAAGTGGGCCAGGGCGGTGGCGAGCCGGGCCTGATGTGACTGATAGCGTTGTCGCGGAGAAAAACCGGCCGCGCCCGGCCTTGGGCGGCTGCCGGCCGGGCCCGCCGCCGCCGCTGCCGCCGCCGCCGCAGTAGTGGCACCGCCGCTGGCTCGTCACGTGACGCGCTCCCAGGTGAGCGCCGGGTCACCGGCTTCCGGCCACGTGACCGAACGGAACGGTGACGCCGACCGGGCGAGAAGGGAAGGGGCGCGCAGCTGTATGCGTCCGCGTCATTTCGTCATGCAGTATGTAGGGATGCGGTTTCCCAAGCCCTCGTTCGATCTGCATCCTATTATGTATACATGTATATGCGCGCGCTAAATGACTGTGTGAAGAGGCCAGTATTGAACTTGGCATCCTAACTTGTACTTGATGGCTCAAGCTGTTTGAATTTCACTATATTTGTGCCCTGACTTTTATTGTGGATGCGTACACATAAATGGGCGAGATCTTGAACACCGTCGCACGTGATGAGATGGGGATTGCCAAAGATATCTTATACCACTAGATGGGAAACGGCTGTACCCATTGAGCTCGGCAAAAGAGGGGCATTTTGCATTGCATTAAACTAAACCATAATCTGTGAGCGGCCGGGGTATATGGCTATATGGCTTAACAATAACACCTTCAACGCAAGCAAAGGAAGTGTTGATTTCGGCTCATGAACGCGTGCGTTTCGCAACAGAAAACCATCGAGTTGGGTTGCCTGTAACTCGCCCGGTTCACTTCAGTTTGTACAGTTTAGCTGCGAGTATATGCTATTTAACCACTGAAACCCTCTTTCGCTTGCACGCGTCTGCTAGTAATTAAACGTGGGTGTTGCCAATCTTGTAGCATTATAGGTCTATGGGGATGACCGACTGTTTTCGGTGTGAATTGTTTCAGTCGCCCTTCTTCAGTGATTCTAAATTCACTGTAGCAGATATGCTGGGATGATTATCCGCGGTGACGCCTGGCAACATAGCGTAAAATGAATAATATCAGGATTCCGCAGTGCGTTTCTGCGGTGGTAATTGCGCCGCTCCGCACACATTTGCGGCCGAGGCACGTTCATTGCAGACAAGGCTCGTGCTTAGTGATGACCGATGTATTGCTTTCGCTGATGCTTGTAATGAAGGGGAATACGTGACACGTGCCCCTGTGAGCTCCCAGGGAGGTGCGAACACACTGTCGCCATGTATATACACATGCGCAGAGGCTCACATCCACACACACACGTAACGTTGGTAAGACATTAGTAGTAACCTTATTAGTCGGAGAAAAGCCAGGAGAATGGAGATGTAGATGGGTTGATATTTCGGCAGCAGGCTTTTATTGAAAAAGATAGAAGGGAACTCAAAATTGCATGACGATGATCCTACTCGATGTTTCAGGGGTTTTCTTTTGAAATGGCAAACCACAATTTTTAGAGGACACCAACATTCAGGGTAATAACAAAGAGCGATCACCAGCCATTACCACGATGCGGTGAATATCCGATGTATGCCACCTGTCCGTCCAGGTGGCTCAGTTGGTTGGAGCGCCTGCCTTCCGACCCACCCACCCGTGGCGGGGTGGGTTCGAGTCGCTTTAGGGCGCTCGCTATTTTCCCTTGACAGGTATGGCCTGCGGCCGGTGGCAGCGGTCGCGCTAAAGGTCAGTTGACGTCAGAGGGCAGGACGGACCGTGCCGAGCATTGCGGCACGTTAAGCTTTCGCCACCAAATTCTGCCGTTGACATGGAATTGCGCGATCGGATGGTAGGGGTCAGGGCTCGCACAACAAGCACTGCTTAGCGTGAGCTCTGATCCCGGAAATCCATCCATTCAATGGGTTCGGATAAAATCTTTAAAAAAAAATATCTAAGAATTGGAACATGCAAAATACGGTACATGCATACGAATTCAAGCAAACAGGTATCACGCATCACGCTTCATTCAGACATGTAAGCGAGTTAATGTAAACAGGTATCACACATCGCGCATCAGTTATACATGCGAGGAAGTTCAGTTGAACAGACATCGCACATGACGTCTCCGGCATCACTCACACATGAAACAAATGTTAAGCTAGCACACATCTTACATCAAGGCACACATCACCTTCGCATAATCGGCCATGATGAGCCATGTACGTTAAGATTGGGTCGCCGACTTTTTGTAAGAATAGATTCACAGATGACTTTGAGCTCCAAAAGGGCATAGAGTCTATACCTTACTCGATTTCAGCCTGAGCGTGTTTCGCCAAAAAGTGGTCGCCGAAAGGGATATTCCCAGCCTTGTTTTTAGCGTCTCGCAGGTGTTCATTATATCTCAAACGAATAGGGCGCATGGACTGGCCGACATAAGCATTGTCCCTCCCATGTTTTTCACATAATTTACTCTTGATTTCGTAGATTACGTTTTTTTGCGCGCAAACCCATTGAAACTCAGACTTTCACAAATGACATCTATTGCCACCCAGGCACTTAAGCCTGGAGATGGGGATTTCACCAGATACTTTTTTAAGCTTGTGGTTCTTAGATCTAACAAACATGCAGACAACGCAGAGTGGAACAAAACAAAACAAATTTTGAATTGAACACCAGAGAACACAAGTTTCCCGGGCTTCTTACAATGAAATGTTGCGTCATAACTTAGCTTGAACTTGCGCATTCGCCTTTCATTGAATAGTAAGTAGAATGGCAGATGGTCTGTTAATTTCAAACGTCGTTTTGACAGCATCCCAGATGTGCTGCATCCTTGCAAAGCTGAAGAGTGAAAAGCATATTTGCAGCAATAAAACACTTGCATGTTATGTGGGGCGCGTTGGCGCACATACCACGTGACAGGCTCAATGGCAAACTGTCGTGCCAGCCTGATGTCACCAAGCTTTGTCAAGGTCTTCCTGATCTCATATCACGTAAAAATGTCTGCAGCCTATACCCGCTTGGCCCGTCCCTGCCAAAGTCCACTGAGTGGCTCCCGTGTAACGCTAGACCGCCCAAACTGGGAACGGCATGGCATTGAGGAGAACTGAAGCATTGACGATTGCTGAGCGGACCAGAATCCAACAAACCCTGAGACTATTCCCAGCTGGACTGCTACGAAGAACTGTAATCTTGATTTATTACTCACATTAATGGTCTCGTGCGTGCTTAACTGTATGATCTTTCGGTAGTACCATTTCGGTTTGGTAGCTCCCGTCCCTGCTCGAGAGTCCACGCATCTGCTAGCGTTCCCTGGAGTTTGTGAACGACGAACGCGCACATCACTATGGCGTCCGGCAGGATATTCGCGGCGAACTATCGCGTTTATTGTTAGTAAAGGTATTACAGCTCTACTGCGTGGTCCTGCAATGCTTCCATTGCGTTTCTAAGTGGGCACCTCATCGGTGGTGTTTCACTGTTCTGTGCATTCCTTTCACCGTCTTACCCAGTGACAGATCCGACGTAAGATCATGGGAGGGACGGGAGAGCCAGGCTCCAATTGGGTTGCGGTGAAATTAAGTGAAAGGTGCAAATTCTAGTGTTTTCCGTCATTATGGAAAAGGTGATCCCGTTTTTCCCCTCTTGGACCTGTCATTGGTCTCGCCCGTATACTCTGCTTAGCGCTGTTGCAGTGTGGAAGTGGGCTTTGGTCTTGCCTGTATGACTCCCTTTCGTATTTAACGTTAAACTTCTGCATGGAAGTGGTCCTTTGCATGGATAAGAATGTAAATATATGACAGCGGGGGCTTACAGTTGACAATGTGCACTTATACGCCGTGGGTAGATGCGCGTTCTCTGGGACAATTGTGACTTGTGCTGGCGAATGCTGCTACAGCCCGGCGGCGGTGTGGCGTCGTATTGGCGCCGATCAAGACCGTGCCCGCTAACACGTCTTCAGCCACGGCTCTGCAGAAGTCCTGCCGTCCGGTCTCGAGCGTTATCTCTCCATATGCGGGCGTTCTGGACGCGTGCCGTGCCGGACGCGGTGTCCGTGCGCACGGCCCACACTGCCCGGCCTGGTGGCGGGCGGCGCAGGCGGTGGCGGCGCGACCTTTGTGGCGCCTCGCGCGCGCCGGCCGCCGCCGCCGCCGCCGCCGGGAGTAGTCGGCCTCTGGGGAGGGTGGACGTCGTCGGCGGCTGCCGAGCGCCCGCAGGCCGCCCGTCTGACCGTGCGCCGCGCCCGCTGTGTGCCGCAGACGATGGCGTCCGCACGAGAGGGTGATGTGCCCCGCACCTTTTACCAGCTGCCGACGGCCGAGGGGACGGCCGCCGCCGCCGGACCCGGCCGGCCGGCCGACCCCGACACCCTGCGCCAGTACGTGCGGGAGCAGACAATCGGCCGAGCGCGCAGCTTCCTCGGGCCGTTCGGCTCCAACAGAGGTACGTGTGCGGGGACGGAGACGGTCCGCCGCGGCGGCCAGAGGCTCAATCGGGACGTGCAGACGCCCGTCACCGTACGATCGAGACGTACAGACGCCCGTCACCGCACGGTCGGGACGTACAGGACGCCCGTCGCCGCACGCGCCAGTACGCTGCTGGTGACGGCCGGCGCGTGCATGTTGTAACGTTTGGAGCTGTCCTGCTGTGATCAAGACGTTACTGGCGTGATCTCCGGCCTCTTCATCACTTGCTAGACTACAGCGGCTGGACTTGTGAGGTAATACAACGCGTGGGACCATTCGCTTTCAGCTGTGGATGGTGCCAATAATAGCGTAATAGCAGCCTGGCCACTATTTCCTATGACCTTTAGACAACTTAGCCGCGTAGTACCAGCAATAACGCGTTCCCACGATAGAAGGTCTAACCGTTTCCAGATCTAAATAACTCGAATTCCGCTGCCACATATTTAATTTTCAGTGCCACAAACGGCAATAATCATGAAGGGTTATATCATCACGAAATCGTGCGGACAATGTGGAGTCCAATAGTTTTGAGTTGGACGAAACATTCCAAACTGGTGACTGTTCAGATTACCATTGTTGCACGCATCGCAACCCGAATGCGGGGTGGGGGTGGGGGCAGGGTGGGTGGATGGGCGTGACGCGTGTACCAAGGATGATCCCCAATGAAGGAGCAGCACCGGTTGTAAGCAAGTGCGAGCAATAGCATCGTACTGCGCCTGATAAAACAATCGACCGTTTTGCAACGGCGGACCGGGTACCAGCACCTGCACTGCGTCAGGCTGGTGCTGGAATCCCAGTCCCTCACCCGTCTCGCTACTCCAGTTCAGCGGAGCGTTCTCCCCGGTCAGACGAGCATGGTTCGGCCTTCATGGCTGGTGGTGACCTTCGTCATGTCACACGAGCATAACCCACCACTGACGGTTATTGGTGACCAGCAGTACCGTGTTCTAGAAGCTCTTGTCCAAAGTCCAGTCCAAAGTCCAAGAATGACCCAGCAGTCCATCCAAAAAGTGCCCATGAAATCAGGACGTCCAAGAAATTTCAGTTGTATACATATCAGCTTACTTCTACCCGCAACCAGTAACTACATTCACTACTCGCGTCATAGCGTTTGCTCACTGGAATTGAATGCAAAGGAAAGAAAGCGATCGTGGGTAAGAAAAGTGCACCTGCGTTTAGCATGTTAATATTCACACCAATTTGAAACATGACAGAGTGATATCGACTGCCACCCAAAACTCAATTACTTTTGCTCCTGTCCGTCCAAATTCCACATTAGATCTTGAAAATCCTTGGAATTCCTAAATTTGGAATCCCATCGGCAGCTCTAGTGGCGACCCTCATGTGGTGCCGTTTGCGATCCTCATACCTCCGCGACAGTGGCTCGGTGGCGTGTTTAGTTCGTGGCCACACGTGTATGGAGCATAATTACTGTGCAAATCCTTTCAACCTGTTGTTGACTATGGACCTTTCTGCCCTAATGGAACATCGAGCCGCGATTATTGCATGCAGCAGGGCTGTGCCTTGATGGAGAGCGACAGCGCGCCTGCCGTGGCCACGGCTTGACTGTTAGTGCGGCCGTTGCAGTCGCCTCGAAAAGACGGGTTATATTTACATGTCTGCTTCGGCCAAAATCATGTGCAAGTTTGATTTATCGGAACGAGCAAAAACATTTTGGAAACAGCGCCGACCCAGAATTTCGTCCAGGAAGGGCCAGCTCGGACCAAAGCAGTCTCTGTCAGGCCGAGGGGGCGCAATTTCGTGGCCAAAGGGGCCCTGTTTTGTGTTTAAATGACCTTTGAAGGCTCATGGTCTCTTTGTAAAGCCTCGAAGGCTCATTTCATGGTCTAGAAGCACCCATAAACTACCAAAAAATGTTGGGATCTTTGGTACCAGGGGTTCCCGCCACGCAGGGGAGGGGGGGGGGGGGGGGCATCGTCTCTTCCTTGATTACGCCACCGTTAGAAATGAAGCAGTTTTGGCCCCAATGACACTTTGAATTTTAGAAAATGCCGGACAGATATGTTCGCCACTTTTCGCTTGGTCTTCGGCTGTGATGTTTTTGCGTTAAGCACTGCTGCGGCTGGAGTGCTATTTGGCGTCCCCGTCTCCGTAAACACTGCCGGAGCGAGTACTGCAGAAGTATTGTGCTATTTAGAGGAACCCGCCGGCCAAATGAAAGATCCGAACACATCATGAGGGCACGATACAGTTCTCGGTATATTGAACTAAAAAACCATTGCTTTGGCTGACCAAAACTCTTGAAGCAGTTATCAGATGCCCAATGCGACTCGCCCTAGAGTCTCCTGTCTACGAAACTCGTGCAACCCGATATGAGCTTCGCGTCAGTAGGACGGGAACGTGTACCCCCAGCTTGTCCGAACTCTAGCAGCATGATTATGGCGTTGCATGAAAAGAAACACCCGAACAAGGTGTAAGGACGTCTTTTGGCCCGTAATAGTCCCAATGCGTCCTGGTCGTCATCTGCTGTCCCAGCACGACAGGCCAGCGAATGGAAAAAAAAAACAGCTGCTGTATCAGCGACATCATGACGAGTGGAACAGGCTTTTACTGTCCAAGTATGTTCCGAGCATATATCAACTCATTCGTCATTCACTTGAATCGATTAAAAACCGGCTTCAGTGGCAAATTAAGAACGCGAGCCGTTTTTGTATGGGACGGCTGGCCTGGCGACTACTGGAGCGCCGGTGTTGACCAAGGGCAGGCAGGTGCTCGCGTGCTGCCTCTGGAGTGCGAGCACATGTCGCCAGTGGTCGTCTGAGTGCGCTCAGTCAACACTTCAGCCCTGTGTCCTTTTGGAAGTGTCCTTTTGGAAGATTTGACCGCTGCTTGGGCCCTACGGCGTGAAAGCTTTGCTGCTTCCATGCGTCGATAGGTGTTGGCACCATGTGCGATAGGCTTTATATGGCCCCGTAATCGCATCTTAGCAGGCCGGCTTTCCACACTGCTTAAGTTGAAAAGCACTCTTGTTTCGCGAGTGCCATGCGGAGAGTGAAGTCGGAAGCCTTGATAGGCCGTTGTCGCGGTGGTATCATCGCCACTTTGAAAGTGAGCTCAGCACGTAATGTAAATATTGTGTGTGCTGCCGTGTTAAGTTCGGCCGAACCTGGACCGAGTGAGGTGCATGACCGGCCTCTGATGTATAACCACAGCGGGCACTGTGACGCCACTAAAATGTTCGCGAGCCATTTCAATGTGTTGTACCCGTAATGTATTGTTATACCCCTAAGATGCTTTGGGCAACGTGGAACGCATGCGTCGTCGCCGAGGGCGAAAACATATGCTATGTCAGCTATGTATCTCCATAAGGCAAACAGGTCGGTACCTTTCGTAGAAGCCACAAGCTTGTTTCATGCCATTATTTTCAGACAGGGACCCGATTTGGTAGCAAATCTGAAATACTCGAAAAATCGGATGAGCTAGTGCGGGACCATGGTTTGTCGTCAGTGCTATGAGCCGAAGCCGTAGCCGTAACTTAATCCTTGTTTTTGTTTCCTTATTACGTACATGTTTGTCATCTCCCGCTCGCAGTGCCTTTTGGTTTGATCCGATGTGACCAAGGGCCTATATGGTAGGTACGGTCATCCGGGTATCCGACCGCTGAGTCCCGTGGTGCCGTGACGTCATCGATATGTTCCGAGCGAAGTCGCCGTTACCCGCCATGCCAGTTTAAGAGCTGCGCGGCGAGGTGCATGGGAGTTGTCTGATTGGACAGGAGTTGATGATGTCAGGGGAATAAATGGTCCCATGGTCGCTGAATGGATGACAGGGGGCTGCATGGGGCCAACTAGATCAACTTAAGTCACGCATTGGTACAAAGTGACAAAATAAGAACGTTTCCAAAGTTAGGACATTGGGTCATTTTGACAGGTCTAACGAAGAACGATGAGTTTCGCCCTTTTTCCATCCTATTTCCCGTGCATTTCAGCATTACGTAACTGTGGAATGCGGTGGGACCAAACTAAGTAACAGTTGAATAAACACTAGGGTGAAAAGGGCTACAAGGTATGGATTCGAGGTTGCCGTACTGCCATTTCCTCTCGCTCAAGTAGGTAAGGACGAGGAAGAAGCAAAGATAAGGACGAGGAACGAGCAAAGCGGCTATTCAACATATCGCACGGTCGGGTGATCATATTTCTTGTGGTAATATTCCATTCAGATGGTGAGGTGAGCTCTGCAACTGTGACTCACGCTCGGAATGTTCAGTTCATGAACTCACTGTTCACCTGACTTGTTTATATGAGATTAAATTTGTACCTCAAAGTTTGAAGCCATTTCGTGATGTACACGCGGCTGCTTTGATGTCTGCATTTCCAGTGCGTTCCGAGAAAGCATTTGATATAATCTAATGACACTGCAAACACCTTCCTCCCTGTCATTTGCCAACTGCGACGCGCCGGATGAAACATAATCCGACCGAAGCATAAATCCGGCGAATACTCTTCGTCGTAGAGAGACGTTCGAAACTTCGCGTGAATGGCACATGTGTGCCTGCGTTTTAATCAGTGCTTGATCTGCTCTTCATGCTTGTCGGACCGCAAAGCTACAGGAAAAGCACTGGTGCCTCGTGACCTTGACGTGGACTCTGTTATCCACTCAGCGAGTAGCGTGAGCTTGGCGGTCCCGTTGATGGACGCGGTATCAGAAGAGGCTCGATCGTCGGGCATGGTTAAGGTTTCGCGGTGACCGCTCAAACGCATCGTTCAGAAGCCGAAAAACGGATTTTAGCGAAGCCGTGCTGGATGCTCGCAGTTTATGCAAATGAGACGGACTTCCAGCCCAAGCCTGCCGTTATGACTCGGTCACTTGGCGGGGGTGTCCGCACTATACCAATGGTGCACGGCCGCGGAGTCCTCTTCTGTTTGGTTCATGCTTTCTGGAACCCCGGGACCAATGTTGGCCACGAGAAAGCCCCCAGTGCGAAGCGCTGCAGGTGCGCCCTCCTGACGGCCGGTGTTGGAACCTCTGGCCTGCTCCGGCCGCGTGGCCCGCCGGTGGCTGTCAACTCGGTCGGTCCAAGCGCCCTTCCCCCCCCCCCCCCCCCTCAGGCCTCGCGAGCTTGGAGTCACATCACAGAAATGTGCCAACAGACGTGCCAAAAACTGGGCTGTGCAGTTTTTTGTTGTGAGCTGCTGCCTCTAGCCACAATGAAAATCGGCTTAGCCGGATCATACGGACTTGCAATGCGTGTCAGGTTCGGTTCGGCTGGCCCATGTGGAGCCAGCCGGGCTGTTGGTCGTCCTTCGGTGAGAGCTCCTGTTATTCGGCTCGCGGTCCTCCTGGTCACAAGTTGATCAGCGGAGGACGCCGGTGCTCATTGCTTCTGTGTCGTGTGACGTTTTTTAGGCCAGCCTGTGGCTTGGCTCCACAGACATGATGGACTTGCCTTCCGGCCAGCGCCGGGAGAGACTGTTTTACCACGGTCTGGTTTTTAATGCTGCGTGGAGACAGAGTGCAAAGACCAATGACCCGGTCTTGTTTTTGTTTGGCATGACGTCAGAGCACCGCACAAAAACTCGGCAGCTGTTTCTCTCGTTATCGGAACTCACCGCTCCTGACGGCCCGCACTTCACTGTGCCAACAAAGGAGTGCGCTCCTCCCTGGAGACGTGGCTGATACGGGCGTCCCGCCGGTGCGAGCTGACGCTATCTACAGTGGTTCGGTTGCTGGTGACAAGCCGCCTCAAGGTCGGCCCCGGGGCGGTCCTGACGACGCATCTTCGCCGGCCGGCGCTCCCCCACCCACTGCCCACCGGGCCATGTCACGCGGATGTGCCGTGCCGCGCCGCGCCGCTGGTGCTCTGGCGCGGTTCAGCGTCAGACGGGGCGGGCGGGGGGCGGTCCTGATGACACATCCTTGCCGGCCGGCGTTCCTCTCACCCACTGCCCACCGGGTATGTCACGCGGATGTGCCGCGCCGCGCCGCGCCGCGCCGCTGGTGCTCTGGCGCGGTTCAGCGTCAGTCGGGGCGGGGGGGGGGGGGGGGCGGGGCGGGGCGCTCAAGCGGGTGTCACATCGGGACCTAAAACATGAAAGGCTGACTCCGGCACTTACAAATTATGTCACCATGCTCGTCGATCTAGAGGCCTGGAGTGACGTCCCCTCGCGAAAGGATCCGATGGCGAATCTCTGAAATCTCTGATCTCTGAATCTCTTAAAATCTGACGGAATGTAAGAGACGAGTGTCTATTTTTTGGCGGACGCAGGGCACCAGGTTTTTGAGGCTGCCATCAGCGCAGCGAGATAAGTCACCGTGTTTGACGTTGCTGAGACGTTTCACTGGCATTGATGGTAATAAGCTGTCAGTTCCGAGCGGCCCCTTGTTCGTACATGTCTTCACCCTAACACAGATCACCGACGGCCGTAGAGTCTGCTATGGCTGGGCCATTGTTTAAGTAAAACTCGTCTGAAACTCGTCCTTCAGTCATTTAAAACCTCACACGTCTTTGAAAAACGTCCGAGATAAAATGTACCAAGGGTAGGCTGCGGAAGGCGTTCGATTCTGACAACCAGCTACGTGTGCGATGGCCTTGAAGGCAGTTGGCCTGCCTACTCACTTTTCAATGTTATTTCCGGGAACGGACAGTAGGTTATCGTTCTCAAAAGCGGATTTTCAATCCAATAATATCAGTCATAGTGTCACCTTTGCGCATTATCTTGGGCATATGATACCTCGTTCCATGGCGGCCCAAGCATATGAACGGATATTTCGCCATGCTGAAATGTATTACTGTGTCACCTCCTGTCAGGTTCATGTTAAGATGTGACCTGTGCAACATAATGATGGGGAACTTTTTGGGAAAACAAACTGAATCAGTCGAGAATGCCGCAAGCGTAGCCCATGTAACCCCCAAAACGTTTCTCGTTGGCCAAATTGCATTAGACGGGATTCGGAATCTTGATGGACATTTCACGCAACATATGTCGCAGAAGCGCTCTGTCTGTCGGACGTACGTCTCGGTGTATGTCGCATGCGCGTCTTTCAGGCCGCAGATTTGCACGCGACACACGCCATGTGCAGGGCGCTGGTGCCGGCTCCTTGCTATATCACTACATGACTTGGTAATGCAAACATTCCTAGGCCTCAGTTATCACAAATGCCGACGTCGCAAAGCCTGCGTTGACTTTGGGATTTGCGGCATGTCACGTACGTGCTACAGAGCTGGCGCTGTGTGGAGCCCGCACCGATCGGCGGGCTGTTCAGGCGTACACGCATCCGGGCAGATACATGAACCCGATCAGTAACGCCAGTGGTAATCATTTCGCACAATCGTCGAATGGAGCCGGGAGGACCGGGCGGGACGTAAGATACTTCCGATCAGTGAATGCAGCAGGCGTATGGTTCCCGTGGCGTCAGGGGCGCTAGCGTATGTGCATGTTGGGGGGGGGGGGGGAGGGAGAGGGAGGGACTGTGGCACACCTGGGTCCTGATAGCGGCCAGCGCCGGCCTCGGGCCGCCGATACGCGTTCATCTGTCCTGGGGATGTGCTGGACCAGAGACGTCCACCTATGCTCGGGATGTGCTGGACCAGGGACGTCCACCTGTCCTGGGGATGTGCTGGACCAGGACGTTCATCTGTCCTGGGAATGTGCTGAACCAGAGACGTCCACCTGTGCTCGGGGTGCGCTGGACCAGGGACGTCCACCTGTCCTGGGAATGTGCTGGACCGGAGACGTCCACCTGTGCTCGGGATGTGCTGGACCAGGGACGTCCACCTGTCCTGGGGATGTGCTGGACCAGGACGTTCATCTGTCCTGGGAATGTGCTGGCCCAGAGACGTCCACCTGTGCTCGGGATGCGCTGGACCAGGGACGTTCACCTATCCTGGGGATGTGCTGGACCAGGACGTTCATCTGTCCTGGGAATGTGCTGGATCAGGGACGTCCACCTGTGCTCGATATGTGCTGGACCAGGGACGTCCACCTGTCCTGGGGATGTGCTGGACCAGGGACGTACACCTGTGCTCGGGGTGCGCTGGACCAGGGACGTCCACCTGTGGTCGGGATGTTCTGGACCAGTGACGTACACCTGTCCCTGAGATGCGCTGGACCAGGGACGTCCACCGAGGCGCAGCTCGCCTGCCGGTCATGGGCGGCCCAGCACGGCGCGTTTCATTGGAGAAGGCTGGCATAGAGCGCTGAAGCCAATCCGCCCATGCCGTGCTGTATGCGGTTGGTAGGCCGGTCTCCTCGAGCCTGCGCTGATCGGATTAGCCGCCTTAAGGTGTCCGCTGCCTGGCACTCGGCGTCCTGTGCACCCGCTTAGAGTAACTACGCCAGTTTCCGAGACGCCGGGTTCCGGGAAGTTTGGGAAACCTTGGAAATCTAGGAGGCTGTAGGGAACAGCTGAACATGTGTGCTGCTGTCGTTAAGCCCGCCTGCGAAAACTGTGACGCTCCAGCTTGGCAAATGTTCTCGGAGTGGGCAGGCCGAATGGGTCTGCTTGGCTTGACAGGTCACGTATCGCCTTGCGTCATGAATCGAATCTATCTTGCATACAATGAGATGCGGTGTCATGAATCTGCGCATTACCACCGGCTCATCGCGTGCCCCGTGCTATTGCCACTGCCATTGCAAACTCAGGGGCGCTGGCCTATGACCCCAGCCGTGGGGCGTGTTAGAGATATGCCGCCTGCCGCTATAGCATGGCTCTCCCGTGCGGAGGAGCCCTTGGGTCCTTGGGCCTTTGGTTTGACGGGCGCCTGCGGCTGGTCTCCCACGGCTGCGTCGGAGGCTTACGTGTGAGCCGGCCGCCCGCTCCCCTGCTGCAGCCGTCTACTGCGACCACACGGCGTCCGGCAAGAGCCTGCGCTTCATCGAGGACTACATACGCGACGAGGTGCTGCCCACATACGCCAACACCCACACCACGTCCACCAACGCCGCCCTGCAGACCACCTCCTTCAGGTGAGCCCAGAGGGGCCCGCCGACCGCGTCGCGTCCCCGTCCTGGGACCTGAGAATTCAGTCGGTCCTTGATTTACGTTACGGTGCATGTACGGATTTACATTTACCGTACATCATTGGTCTAGAAAGCAGGTATGTGCTTTGAGCAAAACGAAAATTCCAGGATCCCATAAGCACGGAAACCAGTGGGATCCTGAATCCACCCTTGGGATCCAGATACATGCCTGGTGGAAAGTCAGGTCCTTGTCACAGTATAGTTACGTGTGTTGAGGTCAACTGCATGCATGCTTGGTTCCATTTATGTACATATAAACTCACCTAAACAATGATCCCGCATGAACCGCGTCATTGCCGTGTACCATTAGTCCGCGGAGGCTGTACCACCTCCGACCATGTGGCCAGATCGCGCTACCCATCCGCCCTTTGCCATCGGCAGCTCGCGCCCCTCCCAGCCGGGCCCTGTCGGTCAGTCTGGCCCAGCGCCCCATCGTTCCGGCTCGAGCCGGCCGGACTGGCTCGTGCTCGATCTGTCCAGTTCACAACGGGACGGGACGCAGGCTGGGGGTGCGGTCGGTGGAGCCGGCTCGCGGGCCGGCCGGGAAAGCAGAAGGGAGGGGGGGGGGGGGGAGGCCGCTCGGCGGTGGAGCTCACAGTAACCGGCCTGGAGCCGGCTCTTCACCTGCGGGCCCACTAGGTCCCATATGACTGGAGCCATTGCGCGACATGCGGATACACCTAGGTCTCATATGACTGGAGACGTTGCGCGACCTGCGGACCCACCTAGGTCCCGTATGACTGGAGGCATTGCATGCCATGCGGACCCACCTAGGTCTCATATGGCTGGAGGCACTGCGCGGCATGCGGACCCACCTAGGTCCCATATGACTGGAGACGTTGCGCGACATGCGGACCCACCTAGGTCCCGTATGACTGGAGGCATTGCATGACGTGCGGACCCACCTAGGCCTCATATGGCTGGAGGCACTGCGCGGCATGCGGACCCACCTAGGTCCCATATGACCAGGCATCGCGCGACATGCGGACCCACCTAGGTCTCATATGACTGGAGGCATTGCGCGACATGCGGGCCCACCTAGGTCCCATATGGCCAGGCATTGCGCGACATGCGGACCCACCTAGATCCCATATGACTGGGGGCATTGCGCGACATGCGAACCCACCTAGGTCCCATATGACCAGGCATTGCGCGACATGTGGACCCACCTAGGCCCCATATGACCAGGCATTGCGCGACATGCGGACCCACCTAGGTCTCATATGACCAGGCATTGCGCGACATGCGGACCCATCTAGGTCCCATATGGCTGGAGGTATTACGCGACATGCGAACCCACCTAGGTCCCATATGACCAGGCATTGCGCGACATGCGGACCCACCTAGGTCTCATATGGCTGGAGGTATTACGCGACATGGCGGTGAAGTTCGACTGTAGTAAATCAAATATCGTAAGGCTTATTTAGTTCGTTCCCATAGCACCGACCGCACCGTTTTTAGGTAGTGCGTGCCGACATTGCTCCGTTTATATCATAAGTGCAAGTATACTGTTATTTGAGATGCGGCTGCATCTCCCAGATGTAGAAGATAGCGTTGCAATTATGTGACGTTACATGTAAATAATTGGACCCAGAAATGGCATGCGCATTCTCTTTTTTATTGTCGAAAGCTTCGCTTCTAATCTGTATAAAAATGTATCGCAACCTGATTGTTTTGCGTGCTACAAAGTCACGTTGTCAAAGTCTTACACTGTCCTCGGTAAGCTCATTAATTCGTTTCGAATGGGATTTTCGGATCTCACACGATTACTGAGCGGGCTTGCCCCATTTGAGGAGCGGTCGTTGGAGTTACAATGCAGAGCGAGTGGCTACAGGTGTGAGGAATCAGACAACTGGCTGCTCGGCTGTTCCGGTCTAGGCCGGTGTCGCGCGCCAATTGTTCAATCCGAGGTGACAGGTTTGGTACAGATGTCCGCCGATAACGCTGCGCGCCGTGCGGTCGGCTGGTGTTTGCGCCCCTGGCTGACAGCGGACGGCTGCCGGTGGTCGCCGCTCACCGGTGGGCCGTAGTGACGCGTCACGGACCGGCCGGGGAGGTTTGGTGCAGATGTCAGCCGATAACGCTGCGGCGCCGTGCGGTCGGCTGGTGTTTGCGCCCCTGGCTGACATCGGACGGCTGCCGGTGGTCGCCGCTCACCGGTGGGCCGTAGCGACGCGTCACGGCCCGGCCGGGGCGGCCACCTCTGCGGCCGCGCTCCGAGCTAGCGGACGTAGCCGCTGTTTACTGCGGTCGGCCGGCGTCGGCCCACGCTCGGCGCGCCGGTCACCGGCTCCAGACGACACCGGACAGGCGCTGGTGGGGGCGGTGACGGCGGCGGGCAGCTGTCCTGGCGCTGCCGGCGCCTGCCGGTACTTTTCCACTGACGCCTCCACCTGAGGTCCGTGCGTCGCGGGCAAGCGTCGCCCCGAGAGGCGGCCGTCGCTGACGTCACTGGTAGTTATGTCACACGCACAGTGACCCGATGTTTTCGTGCGTATGGTGCGGCTGCCGGTCAAGTCGCGGACAGGCGGCCGCCTGTGACAAAGGCGGCCTCGGCTGCACCGGGCATCAGGGGTGCCGTCGGCCGGCCAGCCGGGTGAATCAGGTAACCGGTGAAGAACAGCCTGGAGGAGGGGCGTGTGCCCCGAACCCGCTCGCTCCCGATCTGCCGTCGCGGGTTGACCGGCGCGCGCTCCCGGCCCGCTCCGGACGGCCTTCGGCCGGCCGGGAGGGGGTGCCGGTGGCGTAGTGGTTAACGCATCTGCGATAACCACTGTGCGTCTGGGAAACCAGAGTTACGGGGTTCGATTGCCCGCGGTGCCCGCCCTTCCTGCCAGAGTGAGAGGCAGTCGACGCCATATAGCCTCAGCAGCGAGTGCGTCGTAAAGCCCCAACGACATACACACACACCGGCCGGGCGGGGCGTGCCGTGACCGGCCGCAGTCGTGCCGTCGGCGCCACACCCGAGGCGTCGGTGTTGTCAGTGTTGACAGGCGCTGGACTTGACGGGTCCGTGCGACACCGGCCGCCCCCCGACCGGACCCGCCGCCCTCGAACCCGATCCGTGTTGGCCGCCGGTGGCCGTCCAGTAGTGGACAGCGTGTACGATGCAGCGCTGGCCGGCGTCGCCCGCATCCCCGACCGGCGTCGCCGGCGGGCTTATCGGCGCGCTCGTGCCGCTGCTGTCTGTGTTACGTAATAGCGGTCGGGCGGCTCCGACAATAGGTGGTCCGATGACCCTGCTCTGCGGCCTGAGGGCTGCGGCTGATAACGCTCAGTGTACTAGCGGCTCTGTCGCCTGCACGCTGTTTTCGGATTTTAGCCCCAAGGATATATGTGCGTGAAAATCAGGAAATATGATTTGCTGGCAAGGCGCAGTTTTTTTCCTTCCCTTGCAGACCGCCTCCCGACGCCCACTAGGTTTTACTGGCCTAACGCTACGGTATATTTCTGGTCCCTCAAGAGCTAAAGCCCGCAATATTCCAGCAACCGCGACACACGTGTTGTTTTAATATGTATTTAAGAAGGCAGGTAGTACTGGCCGTGCTTTTGAGTGGCATTCTGACTTCATGAGGCTCAGATAGTGATGCGTGATCGGTCTAGTGTTAATCGTCCTAATGCTGACGTCTTCTTTGTGAAGCGGGCTGACCGCCCAGACACCAGAGGACCTTCCCCAGCCGTTCGTTTGCACTGGTATCACCCCTGCCGCCGCACATGGCGCATATTGACATAGCATCGCATTGGGCTGAGCCAGTGCCGGATGCTGTGGCAGTGTATGGTGGCAGGAAACTGTGCGACGTTTGGCGGACTGCAAGGGAGGCATGCGGTGTAAACATTTTTGATCCATGCCAATTTGCGTGGAGCTAACGGGCGGCCGAGCCACCGGCATGATGCAGTCGGCATGGGGGCATGGTGTACTGCATGGTGCTACTGACGTGGCGACACGGTGCGCTGCATGGTGCAGCTGGCGTGGCGACATGGTGCGCTGCATGGTGCTGCGGACATGATGACATGGTGCGCTGCGGCATTCCTTTAACGAATGCGTTGTTCTTGAACACGGCTCGGATGTAAGAAGATGGATTGTATGTATGGCTGTAAACATTAGAAACATTGTAAGCGTTACAAACATAGCACGTCGTATTTATAGCTCAAGATGATGGCGTTTAACCAGTAGCGAGACGTAGTGACGGATGGAGGGTACTCTGGGGAAAAAGATACATAAAAGTGCAATAAATTGGTCCAGTAAGCACAGTGAAAATTGTTACCACGTTTTTGCGCATTAGGTATACACGGAGCAGTTACATAAGGTGCTAAACAATTAGATAGGGTCGCATGGAACTGCTCTTACACAACAGCTATCTTTATGAATAAAAAAAAATCACAGAAGCCAAGTAAGCAAATTCCGTCTGGAGTCCAACCGCCGAATATTATTAATTTATCGGCTTGCCACATACCAGTGTGCCACGACCCAAGCGACATATTTGAAGGGTCAACGTTGTATGGTGCCGGTCGCTTGGGTGATTTACAAGCTGCTTATCAGATCAAGATGGCTGACCTCCGACTGGAAAACAGGGTTGCGACAGGCCTGAATAAAACGGTCATCAGCCGTCAAACTGAATAGCCTTCAGGATTGACTATAAATACCCGACATCTTTGGTTTCGACCAGCGAGGTCATGCTACAGCGATGCAAACCAATGTAATAGGGTCAACCACTGGTGCGTGCTTGTGCACTTGTGTCTGTATTTAATTCTGCACACTCGTTTCGGCCCATCCACAGCATGCGGCTGGTTCCGTGCTGAACTATGCGCGCTGCCCCTACGTTCCCAATCATTTCCACTGATGCTGCATAAGAGAGGTTAGCCAGTTAGCCTGAAGCCGGTCCCGTCTTGTCCTGTTTTGAAGCCGCACTTTCGGTCATGAAGCGATGTGGCGTATAGTGCTGGTTGACGTTACATGACGGTGCTGGCCTTCTGCTGTGGAAGCCGGCTCGTTCGCCACGTTTGAGTCCATCCATATTCCAATAGGCACCTGCCAGTGGCTTTCAGGCGGTGCGATAGATTTCCCTATCTCAATACTGTTGGGAACCTTGGCTGAGCGTTATTATGCACTCATCAGTCGCATTCGGAACAGGACAAACATATCTAGTGAATGTGTCGGTAGATCACGCGCACCCGAAATGAGCTGCATGCTCGCTTCCGAATGTTACACATCATATCTGTCCTGCAGTGATGACCATTTTTGCCTGGCAGTGCTCGAGTTACGTCGTGCGTGCCCACTCCTAGTCCGATATAACTGCCGTTCAGTGGTTGGCTGGCGTCCGGCTGCGCTGGATGGCGCTCCAGTGTTACGTCGTCCTGAGTAAAGGTCGTCCATGACGCGGGGCTCTGCATCGCGCCATAGGCGCGAGGTGCGCCGGATTGTCCTCAACAGCGTGCAGACGTGGCCCGCATGAGCAGTATCCGCCCATAACCCGCGGCCGTGCGCCCTACGGCAGGGACGAGGCGCGTCTGATCGTGCGCAACAGCGTACAGGCTTCGGAGCACGACGCGGTGCTGTTCTGCGGCTCGGGCGCCACGGCCGCCGTTCACAAGCTCATCAGTCTGCTGCACCTGACGCAGCCGCCGCTGGTGCTGGTCGGGCCGCACGAGCACCACTCCAACCTGCTGCCGTGGCGTGAGGCGGCGCACAAGGTGGGTCATCACTCCGACCCACTGCCACGGTGAGAGGCGGCTCACAAGGCGGGTCACCACTCCAACCCACTGCAACGGTGAGAGGCAGCTCACAAGGCTGGTCACTACTCCAGCCCACTGCAACGGTGAGAGGCGGCTCACAAGGCGGGTCACCACTCCAACCCACTGCAACGGTGAGAGGCGGCGCTTAAGGTGGGTCGCCATCGTGCTGCATAGCTGCTGCGTACTGCACTGTCACCACTACGGCTCAGCATTGGTGAGAGGCGGCGCCTGGGCTGATCCACAAAACTCCAGGTCGGAATGGCGGTAACGATGGTCGGTCGGTCATCGGGGTCGGTCAGTAATGATGCAAGTTCCACGCGAGATAGCCAGGCTCCATTTCCGTTCAATACTTTGGCCTCTGCGTGTTTACTGCTGACCTTTAGTTGCCCGTGCCTTGCTAAAAGGTCGCGCGACTACATTTCCAGGGCATCCGCCAAAATGACGCGCGCACCTGCTGCCCCAGCCGAAGGCCTGACCTCGCTGCCGCCGTCTGGCCAGTCGCATGCTGCGATTGTCGTTCAATGATGTATTTTCCTTGTGGCGTTTTTGAGGACACGGAAAAACGAAAAATAACCGCGCTCTTAATTGGACATGGCTGGCGGTGATGTTGTCCCTGTGAAACAAAAAGGGTCTTTGGTCCTGTCGGGTCACTGAGCCATAGCGTCGTGTAGGAAGGCTCGGAAGGCTGGGGAGCCCTAAGGGATCTCGGAAGGCTGAGGGGGGGGGGGGGGCCTTAAGGAATCTTGAGAGTTCGACATTGATCGGTTTTGTGTTCATCGAGAATCACGTTGCCGTTGGGCACGAAGTATGTATGGCACTCATCGTTCACTGACCGGTGCCATGTTGGAGATGGAGCAGCGTCATTGACCGGCGCCGCCGCCGGGGCAGGTGGTGCGCGTGGCGGAGGATCCCGCCACGGGCGGTGTCAGTCTGGCGGACCTGGACGCCCAGCTGGAGCGGCTGCGACCGGCCGCCGCCGACCGGCCGCTGGTGGCCTGCTTCTCGGCCGCCTCCAACGTGACCGGCCTGCTGACGGGGGACGCCGAGCTGACGGCGGCCGTGCACCGGCGCGGCGGCCTCGTCGTCTGGGACTGCGCCACCGCAGGTGAGGCGCTCGGCCCGTGCCGCGCGCCGCCGCCGACCCACGCAGGGGTGGGCACACGCGCGTGGCCCGCCGTCCGCCGATGCGGGCGCTGGTGCTGTTTGGGATCATGTGCGGATCGGGGCAGCGTCTGGCGTTGGGCTGGGGCGGCTCCGGCAGCATAAGCCCAGCTTCCGTCCTCGGCCCGACCGGCCACCTGCTGGACGGCGGCCAGACTGGCCCTCCGGGGCCGCCCAGAACGCTGCCGAGCCCGGTATGCTAAACAGGCGGTCTGCCCCCCGCCAATGAGCGCTCAGCGTGGACCGCGCTCGCCGCTCCCTGACAGTCACTGCCCAAGCCCGGTGATGAGGGATTTATGTGCTGGCGATAAGCGATTTCATGTTGCGCATTGCATCAGCGTGTTAGTGCTACAGGTCATGAGAGCCTTTGATCTCAGTGCACCCTGTGCTACATACTGGGACGCAGCCAAAGGTGTGGAAGGGGGACACAGGGTTGACAAGGCCCCTGGTAGTAAAGGCCCCCCCCAAAAAAAGGCCGGATATGGCCCATTTGTTAATGAAGACATGTTTTCTTAGCTATTATGCGCATATATATATATATATATATATATATATATATATGTGGGTGTGGGTGTGGTGTGTGGGTGTGGGTGTGGGTGTGGGTGTGGGTGTGGGTGTGGGTGTGTGTGTGTGTGTGGTGTGTGTGTGTGTGTGTGTGTGTGCGTGTGCGTGTGCGTGCGTGCCCGTGTGTAATATTTTTAACTTATCTAACTGGAATATGGGCCAGATGCCACTGCGAGATCATTTTGCTTGCGGTTTATAGTAAATTAAGTGACAAGATCACGCGTTAAATGGCTGCATTGAAATAAGTCACCGGCGCTCGTGATTTTACAATGGTTCAGTGGGCTCTTTTCAAACCGAAAGAACTCCGAAACTTTGTCAGAATTTGTATATGGGTTCTACAGAAAAGCAAGGATTCCGTGAATGTAGATTGAATATAAAATGGGTTAACAGTTTGTATTAATTGGACCAGGTCATGCTTGTCTGGATATCTTCGACATTCATAATTGATTAGTGGTACAGATTATGTAATATAGTTGCGCTATGCGCGCGCGCATATCTTATGAGCATGCGCGCTCGCATATCTTAGAAGCAAAAAATTGGACGCCACACGTTGAAGTCTCCGTAGGCGCGCAGCGCCGGCCCTGCGGCTTATGCTAAGCCAAGGCCAACAGGTGGACGAAAAAAGTGACGCACCTGCAAGAAATACCTGTGAACGCTTTTGCACATCAAATCGCACATTTAGAGATATTTCGGGCGTATGTTTCACCTGTGCGGTTTTTAGAATGATGACAATAGCGCATTGGCCTTTACAGCACCGCGAAGTGGTGCTGGAGTCTGGTTGTGGGACTGGGAGAGTAAGGTCAAATTTATTATTGTTGTGTTGCTGTAACTGTTAATCTGTGAACAGGACAACCTCATATTTTCCAAAAAAATGTTCGTCCAGTGTAGTCTTGGGCTGTACGAATTCCGTTTGAAAGACATTCAGAAACATTATTTTACTATGGTTGTATTTGCGCGCTCGGCGCCCGCCCCCTGGCGTTACATGCAGTGGCCAACGCCGTTTGGTTTTACGAAAAATTCGATCCAAACCATCGCTGTCCTTGCTCCCCTAGATTACGGGCGTGTCACTGGGGCTTGATGCCCCACTCAGCTGCTGGGACTATGTGACGCCGCTGTCCTGTCACCTTGGCGGGAGCGGCGGGCACCGCGGGGAATTGAACCCCGTACCTGGCGTTTCCCAGACGCCAAGTAGTTAACGTAGGCGCATGAATCATTACACTATCGGCGCCCGGTGCGCAGGTTGAGACAACTTGGTGGCATTTGTCTCACTAGTCGATTGTGCAAAAATGATGCACGTCCTCAGGGAAACATGGAGTGGCCTTGTGCGTTTTGAACTCGTTTTGACCCACTCCATCCAGCTCTAATGAGACCCCTTATTTCCTTCAGGTAAAGGGGCCCTGTAAGTACAACACTACGGGGCTGGTCAAGGGCTGTTGTTCCTGGTCAAGGGCTGAAGGGCCATCCTGTTCCATTGCGGTGTGTTTTCCGTCCGTCATTCTGGCGACACTGAACGGCATCCCCTGGCTGATCCGGAGGCCCTTGGAAGGATACATCATTACATATTGGTGCACTCCCTGACACAGAAGGCCTTCTGACCCACACAACTGACGCCAGATCGACGCATGAGCCGTCATCAACGCAACGACATCCTTGCTCGCCGCAGGCAGTCAAATATATAACATCTAGACTCCAGTTGGTCTCAACTGGCCCATACAGGAATATATCAGAGCGTCCACCGTTCGGTACTGAGGCCCTGACTGGCACAGGACTCTTCTATCCCCTCAATGTGAGCACTCATCACAGATTCTCATTTCCTTCAGTTGTCAGAGGGCTCCGACCAACGCAAAAGCCCTCCTGCCATTCGGGCTCCTGTCTCCGTCCCTGTTGACCAAATCTTCCCCTGACTAGTTCGAGGCCTCCTGTTGGCGCATAATGCCCTGTTGGGCACTGTGGGACCCTGAACGATACAAGAGCCCGACCGATGTAAATCGCGTGCCTGGCCTCGTCCCTGTTTGGGAAATGGGCCCTCAGAGCTCAGACCAACGCGGAGCTGTTTGTTGTTCGCGATCTCTCACCGAAGTAGAGGAACGCTCTGTCCCAGGGCGTTTTGCGTTATCGCAATAAATATTATTTTGCGCTCTGTCCCAGGGCGTTATCATTTGCTGACATTTGAGATCACGACTTTATGGGCGGGGTCCTTAACGTGACCTACAGCCGACCCTTCGAACCCTTCACCATCCCACTGAGCCCTCGATCTTAAGTCTCAAGAGACCCTCCGGCCCCACCTCACCTCCTCACCCCTCAAACACCGCTTCGACTCATGGCCACTTGCCGCCACAGGACCGCTGTCAGGCACTGTGACTCCCAACCGACACAGGAGCCCCTCATTGTGCCAGGGTCCCCGAAAATTACAAATCGCGAGCCCCGGCCTTGTTTCTACTTGGGAAATGGGTCTGAAGGGCTCAGACGGACATGGAGCTGACTGTTTGGTGCTCGTGGTCTCTGACCGACTTTAGCACCCGCGCCATCTCAGCAGTTCTTAAAACGGTGTAAGAGGGCCTCTGGCAGGTATTTTAGGTTACGACCCTACGGGCGCAATTCTTAACGTGACCTACAGTCAGTCCTTCGGATCGTTATACCCTCCAAATGGGCCTTTGATCGTCGGATCCGGTGTGCCGCCTGGGACCCTCTTCGGGCCTCCTCGAATACTTCCCTTGGTCGGCTAGGCGCCCGTGCAAGCATGGGACCCCCTGTTAGGCGCTGTGGGCCCCCGACAGATACAAGGCCTCTGGCCAGTGTAAATCACTGGCCCCGGCTTAGGAGCTTATTGGGAAGTGGGCCAAGTGGGCCCCCAGGCCCATACAGACACGGATCCGACTGTGCGGTACAGGTGGTACCTTACCGACAAGTAGGGCTGTATCGATCCGGGGGGTCCGCAATTGGTGTAAAGGGCCCCTTGACCGTTATTTGGTTGTCCATCTTCGCAGGCGGGGGCCCCTGAGTAAGAATCTGACCAGCCCTTTACGCCCTTAGAGCCTCCAATCGGGCCCTTGATCGTCGGACCCGGTGGGCCCTCTAGGCTCTTCGGGCCTCCTCAAATACTGCCTCTGCTCGGCACGAGGCCCCTTGACAACACAGGGCCGTATTAGGCGCTGTAGGGCCCGAACAATGTAAATCGCTGCCTCCGGCTTTGCCCCTGCTTGGGAAATGGGCCCTTAGCCCCACGCCGCCACGCAACCGACTGTGCGTTACCTGTGGTGTCTGACCGAAGTATAGGCTCGTATCGACTCAGTGGGGCCTTGATGAGCGCGCAGAGCCCTCTGGCTGACATTCGAGCGCCTGGTCGTGCGTACTGGGTCCCCTGAATGAGGCCTCTGACTGTGTGCGGGCCCTTCGGGTCCTCAAATCTGGTCCTTAATCCTCCCCCCCCCCCTGCCCGAGCTACTGGCTGCATATCCGAGACGCGATCTGAGCGCGGTGCCACGAGAGCGCGGTGCCATGGACCCGATGTTTGACTCGGCTCACTGCTCGCGGCATGTTGTGCGGCGGCGCCTGACGCCCCGCTCCGTCCCGCAGCGCCTTACACCAAGCTCGTGATGAACCCGGTCGTGCCAGGTCTCGACGCCAGTCTGACGCAGAAGGACGCGCTCTTCTTCTCGCCGCACAAGATGATCGGCGGGGTGCAGACTCCAGGTGAGGAGAGCGCCGGGGCGCTGGCTGCACCCTGCAAACCTGATCCTCTCCCGCCCTTTTACGGGCTCTGGTCATGGCCGCGGTCAGCTTGGTCGGCCGGTTGTGCTGGTGGCTTCGCGGCAAAGCTCTGGGATTAAAACGCAGCGCCTGAACAATACCGAGTGTTGGCTGCGTGTGGCGGCTGGCTGACGTGAGTGCCACCGCGTCCCGGCCCTGCGGGCAGAATTCGGGTGACCCCAGGCTCGTTACCGGCGCAGGCTCTCTCTGTCTGAAACGGAAGCGGCGCGGTAGAACCATGCGCCAACGCATCGGTGGGACCCACTCAACACCGCGCCAATCGCGAATTCCGACGGTAAAAGTGTCGCCAAGACACGGGCCACTCTCCCGGGCGTTAGGACAGAGGCTGGTAGAGGTGTTGCCTTGTACGCATCATCGTGCGTAGCTCAGAGACACGATTTTGGGTCGTTTAAACGTGTACCGACTGAGCAGCGACTTGGGCCTATGGTATGTGTGGCCTGTTTGCGATGCACTGGCTCGCGATGTTGAGCTGCATCGGACATGAGCTGAGTCTCGTGTTTGACGTCTGCTGCCTGTCACGGCAACCTTGACAGTGACAGGCCGGCAGCCAGCCACCGGCTCGACAGGACATTCCGAACAGCCCTTTAGGATTGGAATGTTTGAACGTCAACACTGGCGCACACGCCATGTGTTTGGCGTGCGACAGCGTTGCAGCGCGGACTGCGCGTTGTGCGGACGGCTGTTGCGTCAGGCGCGACGCTTGGTGTCCCTGTCCGACCTTGGCCGCCTGCTGTCGCCCGTGTCGGCGGCTCGCGCTATGTTTGTGTAGTCCGTCTCAGCACGGCCGCGCCGGGCACGCGGCGCGACTCGGCCGGTACGCGGACCGGTACAGGTGCCGGCCGGCCGCACGCCACTCTCGCCACGCTCGTGGCTGCTCGCCGCTCGTTGGGCCGCGCCGACCGGCACAGGCGGCGGCCGGTCTCGCCCAGTTGTGAGGCAGATAGGGCCGGTCCCACCCAGTCGTGAGGCAGAGGGGGCCGGTGCCGGCGCGCGGAGCTCGCGTTACTCGCGTCGGGGACGTGCCGACCGAGCGGTCCGGCACGCTGGTGCCGACCGTAGCAGGCCGCTGATGACCGTGGCCGCTCAGACGGTTAGCGTGCGGCACGCAGCGCGTGCTGGCCGGCGCTTTTCCCTCCCATTCTTGCGACGGTGGCATGTAGCAAGCGGCCGGTCCAGTTCTTTTAGCGTCAGTATGTGCTTGTTGGGTTGCTGGAGTATTGCAATGTGTGAGGTGACTGTAAGCCGCGGTCGGTAGCGCGTTAAGTGTTATCCACAACCGTGTGTCGAGTGGTCGGTCCGTGCCCGGCAACCGTCACTTTGTTGCAGTGTTGGAAATTATAAAAAAATCCTGGGAGCGGAGTACAAATTGTCTATAGTGCACGGCAAAAATATCCGAGTGCCGTGGGTCATAACAATTTTATTTAGACTATCTTTGAGAGATAGCAGTACACTCGGTGGTACTCAATAAAAGCGCCACTTTCCATGTACAGCAATTCATGTAAAAACACTTGTAATGGGAGGAAACATCGGTATTTAACATGGTACGCTGAAACAACACGGTCTCAGGCTCTGTGCTAAGAAGCATAGGTGTAGATATATGGGTTTTCAGTTTATGACAGGCTGTGCGTGGTAACCACCCTCCAAAACGGCGGGTGGTTACGCTCCGGGCTTAAACACACTCAGAAATGGAGGGTGGCTACGCACCGGGCGCATGCACCCTCCAACATGGAGGATGGCTACGATACGCACAGCCAGAGAAAAATGGTGCATAAATATACAAAGAAGGTGCCACAGACGGCCACCTACTTAAGCTCCACCATGATCGCGCTACTCACGCTCCACCACGGTCACGCTACTCACGATCTACCAGCTAACTGGTTTTAAAAACGGATTAACATTCATGCCCTTTACCTTCCGGACAACACACTAGGCCCTGCACGTCCCAGCCGAATAATAGAGACAGGCAGCACTCTCAACCGATTTACCGAGCCAGCGCAAGTGCAATGCCTGGCGGACCCGTCCACGCCGACCAAAAGGGATTGGAGTCAGTCACTCCGCTGACTCCTGCGGACAATACATTGTATTTATGGATTTTAATGCGCTGTAACCCATATCATTGAAAAATAGGATAATTTATGTTCCAATTCATTGATGTTTTGTTCCAGTAAACCCTTCTTCTTAACTTGCAGGACCAAAGTTATGGGTTCGTGTTACTCTGGTGTTCTGGTGTTTTTGCCGGAGTGAGATGGCTGTCTCTGAACGTTTTTTTTTTTGCCATTTATAGCAACCTTTTTCGACTTAAAATTATATTTTATAAAGCCTGAATTACCAGCCTTAATTTCACACCCTTAACACGCACTCGGGTGAGGTGTCAAATTGACTCCCCCCCCCCCCCTCCCGGAAGGATTTCCCGGAAGGATTTCCGAACGGCCGGACGTAGCCGCGCGAAATTTGGGATGGCTGTAGACAATTGAAAAGCGGATTGTCTGACATAAAAAATTTAGGTGTACCTTGTAAGTTCGCTGACCTGTGACAGGTCAAAGTCAGGCCATGGTTTCAGCGAGGGCACTTTCTAGGGAATCGTCGGATCCGATCAAACAACGGAGCGTTGGACGAAGCCAGACATCTCTGGGATACTCTCTTATGCAACACAACAATTGAATTAACAAATAGCAATGACCTAGGAACAGACGGAACGTCAGACCAAGGTCAAAACAAACCTGTTTTATTACTCTCGGGCTTGCTGTATGGGCTGGTTTCTGGTGCTCATTTCGAATATATTGATAGCAGGAACCGCATTATATACCTTCAATTGACCTTGTATAGGTCAGAATAAGTCACGGACCTAAAATGACTCAGGTCAACGTTTTGTTTTCAGGAACATACTGCCAGCGTAATCTCTGTCGCTTATCCAGGTGCAAAACGCAGAACGGTCTTATATTTTTGGGTCCTCATGACCTTTAAAAGGTAAAAAAGGTCACTGACCTTAACTGAGCGTGTAACATTTTTCTTAGAACATTGCCTAGTTCTAGGGGCCCTTTGGAGACAACCTGAAATTTGACCTTGTTTGCCCTATCTGACCTGAAGGTCATGACCTAGGAACTTAACACTTTAACTTGAGTGAGTTCACGTACAGGTCAACACACCCTGTGAATTTGGTGTCTGTAGCTCTCTTAGTTCCCGAGATCTGAGGAGGGGGTCAAATTGACCGCCTCCACCCGAGCGAATGGTATCCAGCCGGCCACCCAGGCGTGTGTTTAAAGGTCAAACAATGTCACTTACCTTAACTGCGCGTGTAGCATTTTCTTAGAACAGTTGCCTAGGTTCTACTGGTCCTTTGGAGACCAATCTTGGAATTTGGCCTTGTGTTACCTTATTTTACCCGAAGGTCATGATCTAGTAACTTCACACTTTGACCTAAGAGAGTTCGCGTACAGGTCAATGCAAGTCCTTCGTCATAATCGTGATACCCATCTCTATACAGCTTCTCTCCAAATGTTTACAAATCTGTTCAAGGCATGAGCGCGAGCAGAATATTTATGCTCTTGACAAATCAGTCACCAGCAGGCGAATTATTAAAACCAGTTGGAGATTTGGGCTGTGTTTAACCTCCAACCTGAGCTGGGAGGTGGGCGCAAGGCGCCGAATAGTTGAGACGTTTCCAACACTGAATTGCGAGTGATTCTCTTATTTGCATTGTCATGACACAGTGGTTGCGCGTGAGTAAGCGGCCGTCTGTGGTAGGTGCTTGGTTGCGTCGTTTTCTATGACCATTCATTGCATCCTTGGCAATAAATGCGGTTCGTCGTCAATGGTAGGTTAAGTTATATTCAAGTTTGAGTTGGTCTGCGTAGGGCGTAGGAAGTGAGAGCTTTGCAAATCTACAGACTGGAGCTATTCTGGTGCTCGTTTCTCACTTCCCAGTGTTGTTCAAAGGCAATTTAATTCAACATTCACACTTTATTTTTCACATTTCCATACATGCTCAATCTTATACCTTGGTGGCAACACAGGCTGCTTGCTGTTGGGCGTCTTAGTCTGGTAGGCGCAAGATTTGTGCTCTTGCAGATATCAATACATGGCTCATGATGGAAGCAGCAAGCCTCAAGCTGTTGCATCTTCTGGTTTAATTTTGTCCTGAAACAGAGAGATACAGTGAGTTTTTTTTCTTCAAAAAAAATGTTTTTGTTGCACCATGATGAAGTACAACATATGTCATTTTACCTGGCCACAATCCTGGAGTACAAAATCTTCTGGCATACATTATACCTGGACACGTCAAGTTTTCCAACACTGTTTTGCCGCGTTGCACTCGTTACCAACTGACGTGGGGGGGGGGGGGGGAGGGGGCGAACATATCGAAGATGCAGAATGGGTGGTGAAGTAGTGATTATTCGAACCCAGTAATGACCAGAACCCGGTAATAATTATGACGTCATGTGGAATGCCACTGTGTGCGTGCCACACATGTCAACATTCATTGCGTGGTCAGCACACCATAGACGAAGGATCGGCGCTTTTGAACAGATAACAATGTGCCCACCGTTTCACTGGCCTTGGATTGTGGTCGTGCCTGGCGTGTCCCGTGGCCTGTGTGGCGCGTCAGCCGGTGACGGTCCGCCTCGCCGCCGGCGGCAGGTGTTCTGGTGGTGAAGACGCGTCTGGTGCGGAACCCGGTGCCGGACGGCGGCGGCGGCGGCGGCACCGTCTTCTTCGTGCGCCGCGACCAGCACCGCTACCTACAGGTACGGCGGCGTCGCGCCCGCGTCTGTCGCTACAGATGCTCTGCCGGAAGGAGGCTGTGCGCGATGGGAGCGTGTGTTGGTACGGAACAGCGGCCGCTGGTGGTTCCCTCCACGTTAGCTGCGTGTGGGTGTGACACTGTCCTTGGTATGAATACTTTCCCCAAGCTGTGCATGACAGGGGCCAATTTGCGTGCCTGCCCATGAGCTGGTTGATGGCGTTGCCTCCCGCCCATGAAAGCAACACGGCTTGTGTGTGATCGAACGTCATGGCTTACGCCGGCTTGTGTCCCGCTCTGACCAGGCCATGCGGGCGTCAGTGCCGTGTCATGACGTGACGCCGTGTCATGACGCTGTACTGTGCCGCTGTGTGTCGTGACGCCGTGCCGTGCCGCCGTGCTGTGCGCCGTGTGCCGTGTGCCGTGCCGTGATGCCGTGTGCCGTGACGCCGTGTGCCGTGACGCCGTGCCGTGACGCCGTGCCGTGACGCCGTGCCGTGACGCGTGCCGTGACACCGTACCGTGACGCTGTGTGCCACGACGCCGTGTCGTGCCGCCGTGTGCAGTGCCGCCGTGCTGTGACGCGACGCGGCCGCTGGCAGAACGTGGAGGCGCGGGAGGAGGCCGGCACACCGGCTATCGTGGAGGCGGTGCGGGCCGGCCTCGTGCTCCAGCTGAAGGAGGCGCTCGGCCCGGAGCAGATTCGACTCTGGGACGATGCGATCGTCAGGTGAGCCGGCCAGCACCAGATCACGCCTATCCGCCGGGATATATAGCTGCATATGTTCACAATCTGTGGAATGGATTGCCAGCACCGAGCTACCGCCTCCCATGTGATGGAATGCAGTCTCCCCCCCCCCCTCACCCTGCGTCACCGAGCGCTTCGACCCGCTTCAGCCGTTGCCAACTTCGGCAGTGTTGACACAAGTGAAGCTGACTTGTTGGATTTGCGGTAAAAACGTCATGTTGACCCAAGCTCAGAGTTGGCCAGGAGGCTCGGTGACACCTTCCGTCAACATTGAGGTGGCCACATCATCATGAAGTGTGCTATCAGGGAGCGTGTGTCGCAGCTTTGAGATGCGTCCGATTGTGTTTCTCGTCAGAGTGACGGTCCGGAAGTCGGAGATAATGTGCCGTATGAAGACGGCCGGTCTGTGTGTGCGTTGACTAAAGCAAGATGAACCGACTAAGGTTTCCCTGTATCAGCTTGTCTCCGTAGCCTTGATATTCATCTGAAGGCCGATGCACTTTAACCCGGGTCGATCAAGCTTGAAGACCCTGCTGCCGTGTTCAAATGAGTATGAAACGTTGGGGTTTGGTTAGGTTAGCTTCTCTCGCTCTTGTTCTTTCTCTCGCTCTCGTTTTTTTCTCTCTCTCTCCCTCTCTCTCTCTCTGTCCCCCTCACTCTGCCCCCTCTCTCTCGCTCGGCCTTAAACGAAAGGCGTCTCAGAACTGTGATATGAAGCAACCAGAGGTGATGGAGTGAGGCGGCAGCCATCCTGGCTCGACGCTGATGCTTGACGTGCAGAGGAAACCCAGCCAGGGCATGGCTTGGTCCAGAACGAGGGCCGTCCGTAGGCCTTCTCAGGAATAACGGCCGGAGCAAAGCTTTTAGTACACCGGTAACCCTGCGAGATCACGTCATCCCGTGCCGACGGCTCGAGTCCGTGCCGCCCTCCGTCTCACACACGCCCAGCCCCCCGGCCGCCAGTGACCGGCGGCCTCTCCGTCGGCAGCCGGTTCCTGCGTGAGGCACGCTCCATGCCTAAGCTGGTGCTTCTGGGACCACGCGCCACGTCCTGCCCGCGCCTGCCCATCTTCTCCTTCCTGGTGGCGACGCCCAGCGGCGCCTTCCTACACCACAACTTTGTGGCGGCGCTGCTAAATGACCTGCTAGGCGTGCAGACGCGCGGCGGGTGCGCATGCGCCGGCCCTTACGCCCAGGACCTGCTGGGGATCGACGAGACGCTGGCCGAACGCTACGAGCGTACCATCGCTGAGGACAGGTGAGAACAGCAGACGCGATAGACACGGACCATCGCTGAGGACAGGTGAGAACAGCAGACGTGACCGGTTCGCGGACCATCGCTGAGGGACAGGTGGAGAACAGTCAGACGCGATAGACCCACGGACCATCGCGTGAGGACAGGTGGAAGAAACAGCAGACGTGAACCGGTGCGGACCACCGCTGAGGACAGGCGAGAACAGCAAGGACGCGATAGACAGCGGACCATCGCTGAGGGACAGGTGAGAACAGCAGACGTGCCGGTGCGGACCATCGCTGAGGACAGGGGAGAACAGGCAGACCGCGAACAGGGCGCGGACCATCGCTTAGGTACAGGTGGAGACAGGCAGACGCGACAGGCGCGGACCAATCGCTTAGGACAGGTGAGAACAGGCAGACGCGATAGACGCGTGACCATCCGCTGAGGACAGGTGAGAACAGCAGACGCGACAGGCCGCGGACCATCGCTTAGGGACAGGTGAGAACAGGCAGACGCGATAGACAACTGGACCATTCGCTGGAGGATAGGTGAGAACAGCAGACGCGACAGACGCGGACCATCGCTGAGAACAGGTGAGAACAGCAGACGCGACAGACGCGGACCATCGCTGAGAACAGGTGAGAACAGCAGACGCGACAGACGCGGACCATCGCTGAGAACAGGTGAGAACAGCAGACGCGATAGACCGGACCATCGCTGAGGACAGGTGAGAACAGCAGACGCGACAGGCGCGGACCATCGCTTAGGACAGGTGAGAACAGCAGACGCGATAGACACGGACCATCGCTGAGGAAAGGTGAGAACAGCAGACGCGACAGACGCGGACCATCGCTGAGGACAGGTGAGAACAGCAGACGCGATAGACACGGACCATCGCTGAGGATAGGTGAGAACAGCAGACGCGACAGACGCGGACCATCGCTGAGAACAGGTGAGAACAGCAGACGCGATAGACACGGACCATCGCTGAGGATAGGTGAGAACAGCAGACGCGACAGGCGCGGACCATCGCTGAGGACAGGTGAGAACAGCAGACGCGACAGGGCGGACCATCGCTGAGGATAGGTGAGAACAGCAGACGCGACAGGCGCGGACCATCGCTGAGGACAGGTGAGAACAGCTGACGCGATAGACACGGACCATCGCTGAGGATAGGTGAGAACAGCAGACGCGACAGGCGCGGACCATCGCTGAGGACAGGTGAGAACAGCTGACGCGATAGACACGGACCATCGCTGAGGATAGGTGAGAACAGCAGACGCGACAGGCGCGGACCATCGCTGAGGACAGGTGAGAACAGCAGACGCGACAGGCGCGGACCATCGCTGAGGACAGGTGAGAACAGCAGACGCGAGGCGCGGACCATCGCTGAGGACAGGTGAGAACAGCTGACGCGATAGACACGGACCATCGCTGAGGATAGGTGAGAACAGCAGACGCGACAGGCGCGGACCATCGCTGAGGACAGGTGAGAACAGCAGACGCGATAGACACGGACCATCGCTGAGGACAGGTGAGAACAGCAGACGCGACAGGCGCGGACCATCGCTGAGGACAGGTGAGAACAGCAGACGCGATAGACGCGGACCATCGCTGAGGACAGGTGAGAACAGCAGACGCGATAGACACGGACCATCGCTGAGGATAGGTGAGAACAGCAGACGCGACAGACGCGGACCATCGCTGAGAACAGGTGAGAACAGCAGACGTGACCAGGAGACAGCTTGGCACCTGGGTAGCGTGATCCCCGAGGGACAATGCTAACCACAGTGTGTTAAGTTGCGAAGAAAGATCTACGTCGTTGTGCCTGAAATGGCCGGAAGTCACCTTGCTCTCGCATTGTGTCATGTTACATATTTTTTTCATTTCTTCATGGGACCCAAAGTTCGTTTTAGCTCTTTCTTTGTTTGTTTGAGGGGGGGGGGGATTTTTGCCTTTTTGGCGAGTGCCTGGTAACTCAACACCCAGCGGGATTTCAGTGTGTGTGTGTGTCGTTGGCAGCCGGCTGGACCGGACCCACCTGCGGCGCCAGGGCGAGTACTCCTCGTACGAGCTGCTGCGGCCTGGCTTCACGCGCGTCACGCTCAGCTACCTGCTGTCGGAGGACGAGCTGGAGCACGTCATCACTGCCCTCAGGTCAGTCACGCGACGTCACACTCGGCTACCGGGGGACGAGCTGGATGACGTCATCACGGCCCTTAGGTCAGTTGTATATCGTCATGAAATATTTCGATCGAAAAAAGCGAGTTGTTAACCACGCCTGTTAGGTCGTTGGGTTTGGTTTGGTTGGGTTTTTGTTAGGTTTGGTTTGGTTGGGTTTTTGTTAGGTTTGGGTTTCTTCCGTGCCTGCTCACCTCAATCAATGCGCATATATGCTTATGTACGTCAGTGTCTGCGGTCTGATTGGTCCGTGTGAGGTAAGGCGTTGTCACGCACCAGACTTGGGTCCGTGCGTGTTTGGCAGGGCTCAACGGCGGTCGTGGCCCAGCTGCTCAAGGAAAGCGGTGGACCGCTGCTGATGACTGATCACTGACCATCAGTCGGTGAGGTGTTTGCCTGTGTCGGCTGGCAGCAGGGACCGCTGCTGACCCCGCTCGGCTGTTGCAGGCTGGTGAGCGAGCACGGCTGGAAGCTGCTGCCCCAGTATCGGGTCAACCCGGAGACCGGCGAGTGGAGGCACCACTCCAACCTGGTGCGTGTGGCGCCGGTCCGCCGTCCGCTCAGCACGTGACGCATCAGGCGCCGGTTCGCCGCTCGCTTACAGCTGTTTTGTGATGACTGATCATCGGGTGATGCCATGTAAATCTCGAAACACTTGTCCAATTCAAGCTTGTCATATGCTTTTAGATCTCCCATTTAGTGACAACTTCTGCATAGTGGTCCTGTCGTTCATCTATCGGATTCTGGCGTGTAGCATTGTGACCGCAACCGTGTGTCGGCCTGTACCCAGTGTACCGGCCGTATCCCAGTGTATCGGCTGTACCCAGTGTACCAGCTGTATCCAGTGTATCGGCTGTATCCAGTGTATCGGCTGTATCCAGTGTATCGGCTGTATCCAGTGTATCGGCTGTATCCAGTGTGTCGGCTGTATCCGGTGTGTCGGCTGTATCCAGTATATCGGCTGTATCCAGTGTGTCGGCTGTATCCAGTGTATCGGCTGTACCCAGTGTACCGGCCGTATCCAGTGTATCGGCCGTATCCAGTGTATCGGCTGTATCCAGTGTACCAGCTGTATCCAGTGTATCGGCTGTGCCCAGTGTATCGGCTGTATCCAGTGTACCGGCTGTATCCAGTGTATCGGGTGTGCCCAGTGTACCGGCTGTATCCAGTGTATCGGCTGTGCCCAGTGTACCGGCTGTATCCAGTGTATCGGCTGTATCCAGTGTATCTGCTGTATCCAATGGATCGGCTGTGTCCAGTGTACCGGCTGTATCCAGTGGATCTGCTGTATCCAGTGTATCGGCTGTATCCAGTGTATCGGCTGTATCCAGTGGATCTGCTGTATCCAGCGGATCGGCTCGCGTGCGCGGAATGCCGCTCGTACCGTCCGTGACGTACGCGCGACTCTTCCGCTTCACGAGCCGCGTGCCGTATGCCGGCTCCATGAAAGATCGCCCTGCTTCCTGGTCGGTGCACCAGATACAGGTCAAACACACCTGCTGCGGTGTTCCCAGCCTGGCTGTCCTGTCTATCCCGCCGAGGCTGTAGTCGTCTGTTGCGCCAAGGTCGGCTGCGGTGCCGACGGGCAATGTCGCTGACCCAATCCACGCTGGTGCGGGGCGACCCGGCTACCTCGAGCGGTGACCCCGGCCCGGCCAGTGCCCACTCTTGGATCCGGCGCGGCGACCTGGGGATCCGGTGAACTGGTGATCCTGTGAACTGGTGTTCCGGTGACCTGGTGATCCTGTGAACTGGTGTTCCGGTGACCTGGTGATCCGGTGACCTGGTGATCCGGTGACCTGGTAGTCCGCTGACCTGGTGATCCGCTGACCTGGTGATCCGGTGAACTGGTGTTCCGGTGAACTGGTGGCCCGATGACCTGGTGGTCTGGTGACCTAGCATTGGGGTGACCTGGAGCCCCGGTGACCGTTGCGCGACCCCGTCAGGTTCTGAAGGAGCGCCGCTGGCTGGGCGACATCCGCTACGGCTCGGGCCGCATGGAGTACCGGCAGCGGTCGGCCCACCCGCCGGCGCCGGAGCTGCGCGCCTGCGCCGCCCGCGCCCGCGCCCTCATCGACAGCGCCAAGAAGGTGCGCCCGCCCGCCGCCTAGGGCTGCCGTCGGGATAATTTGTACCACTGTTGTGTGACCAGGCCAGCGGCAACTTCCAGCGGTGCTCTTGCATCCGTCGTAAGAACGGGTCGGCTTTCAGGACTTCTTTAGTTTTCATCTGAATCAAAATGACCTAAGGAATGGTGGATTGGTTTCATGACTAATGACTGCTAACAAAACATGGCTGTTTCCCTCTTTCCCCATGATTATCGTACTTTGGGTTGTTTGCGTCACGCATCATTTTCAATTGGTAGGCTCGCGAAGGTCTGTCATGTTTTGTTATGTTTTGCATTCCCATTCTTATCTACTTCGACACATGGCCGTCTCCTTAACCTCTGCCGCTCTGACCGGACCCCTGGCCTGGCAGAACTGCCCGCGCCAGGTGCCCGACCACAGCGCCATGTTTGACGCGGCGGCGACAGAGCTGCGCTGGTTCCTGCTGCCGAACGAGGCGCGCCTGATGCTACATGGCACGGCCATGACCATGCGGCCGCCGTTCAAGCCGCGGGTGAGTGTCGGCGCCTCGGCGGAGCGGAGCGGGGTGTGCCCGGCCTGGGCAGAGGCGCTGCTGCGGTCACGGGATGGGCTCTCCTTGGGCTCTCCTTAGGTTCTATTCCGGCTCCGATGGGTGTTGCTGGCTGGTAATCTGACCTGACCTGTAATCTGCTACTGGCTGGTAATCTGAGTATCTCGGAAGATCGATAAGCTCAGATAAGTGTTGCAGATTGCTGCCTGGTTCCGGTATTGTGCCTGAGTGATTGTATGGTGTGTTCTGAGGCTCATGTCTCGGCTGAGCTGACCAGGCCTCCCGTCGCCGTGCGCAGGTGTACTCCGGGCAGGGGCGGATGGCGCTTGGCCGCCGCCGGGCCATGTCCGAGAGCCGCGACCCGCCTGGCGTCGGCTCGCGTCGACCAGCCGGAGTCGCCGCGGACGCCGGCGGCCGCGCCAGCCGCAGCCGCTCCAGTACGCCGGCTCGCTGGATCGCGACCGCGGTCGACCAGCGCGCGCGCCGCCGGCCGCCGCCTCCTCGCCGATCGACACGCCCACGCGCCCGCCGCACATGAAGCAGCGCGCCATGAGCGTCTCGTGCGGCACCGACCGCCGGCTTTCGGACACGCGCTTTCTGGCGCAGGAGCTGCACAATCTGTTCTTCAGCGGCGCGCGGCCGCCGGCCATCCGGCGCCACGGCTCGGCCGGCCAGATGCCGGCCGCGTCGCCGCCGGCGCCGGTGCCTGGGCCGGCGGCGCGCGGCACCGGCGCCGGCGCCGACCGACGGAGCTCGCCGGACGGCGCCGAGAGCCGACCGGCGGCCAGCACCGAGGCGCCGGCGCGCTCGCAGTCGGTGGCGGCGTTGGTGTCAGCGTCGTGCGGTCGGCGCGTGGTGGCCGTGTCGGTGGTGACGCCCCCGGCCACGCCACCCCCCGTCGCCGCTGCCCCTGTCGCCGCCGCTGTGGTATTCTCCGTCAGCAGGGAGTGACGATGCGGCCGAACGGAGCGCGGCAGCGCACGGCGGCGGCACGGGCGCGAGCGGCGCCGATCGGCTGGCAGCGCCGATCGGATGCTGTCGGGAACAGTCCGGCCACTGACCACAGCCGACCGAGCAGCGGCCGGCCTCGCGAAGCACCAAGGGGGTCAAGGCATTGAACCAAAGGTCACGAGCGTTCGTGAGATCAAAACTAGTGACAGCTGCAGTTCGAAAATTAGCGACAGCCGTGAGGCGACAGGTCAGTGACGCCTCAGATGGCATTGTCAGTGACAGCTGCGATTCAAAAATGAGTGGCAGCAGTGTGGCACATATCGATAGCGGCGTAGGAACCCTCGTCAGTGACGCCTGCGATTCAGAAATCAGTGACGACAATGGCGCGAAAACGAGTGACATCAAGGGCTCACCTTGCGGGGTCCGCCTCGAGTCCGAGTCCTACGATAGCTCTAGACTAGCCGGCGGCGAGCCCGGTGTCGCGGGGGCGGTGGGCGCCGGTCAGGCACCCTCCGGTGTGGTGAGCGGAGCGGACGGCGGCGGCCCGGACCCCGCGTCCGGAGACGGCGACGGACCGGCCGCCAGTCCGCCGAGCCCCGCCCACAGAGCGCCGGCCAAGGCCCAGCCGACCGGGCCCCAGTGGCATGCGCCGCCGCGGGCCATCTTCAAGAAAACGGCCGAGGTACGTGCATGGAGAAGACCGGTACGTAAAGGCTGGCATGCAAGCTTGGCGATCACTGAGGGTGGGACTGGATCACCACTCTTCATGCAGCATTTTGCAGCATTGTACAGAATGCATGCTGCGACCTTCATTCTTTATGTTGTGTCCGTAGCATGCTGTACTATGCGTTGGACATGACGTTAGCATGCGCTATTGATCTAGCTATAGAAGCAGACCATCTAATCGTGTGGAATGCACCGATCATTCGGATCGCGTGTGTGTCTGACTGCTCCCATCTGCTGAGTCAGTCGGCTCTGGCACGCCTCAGCGTCGTCCGTCTTACCTGTCCGGCCCCGTCCTGCCCCCCCCCCCCCTTCCTCTGTCCTGCTCCTGCCCTCCCTGTCCTGCCCGGACCTGCCGTGCCCTGCCCATCCTTCTCCTGCCCTGCCCTGTTCTGCTCTGCCCTGCCCTACCCTGTCCTGTCCTGTCCCGTCCTGGCCTGCCCTGCCCTGCCCTGCCTGCCCTGCCCTGCCCTGCCCTGCCCTGCCCTGCCCTGCCCTGCCCTGCCCTGCTCTGCCCTAACGTGGCCTGACGCGGCGATCTCACGCCAGGCGATCGAGGAGTTCTCGATGCTGCGGCCGGACGACCGTGTGCTGGTCTGCCTCTCGGGCGGCAAGGACTCGCTCTCGCTGCTGCACGTGCTGCGCCAGTACCAGTTCGTGGCGGCCAGCCGTGGCGCGCCCTTCCACCTGGCGGCCGTCACCGTCGACCCGCAGAGCAGCGCTTACGACCCGCGCCCGCTGCGCCCCTACCTGGCCAAGCTCGGCGTGCCCTACTACTACGAGGTGCAAGGTCAGACCACCGGCAGCTCTGTTTATCTGTACCTGACTGTTTGCTGGCCTGTTTGTTTTTTGTTTGCTGGCCTGTCTGTTTTTTCATGTTTTTCATTTCTTACCTCTGGGCTCATGATGGAGTTTGCATTTCATGTGAGTGATTGAAACACGCTTGATGTGCTTCATAGCAGCGGCTCAAAATTTATGCAGCAGGGTGTGCAGGATATCAGTACATATTCATTCTGTCGGAATCGTGGCTCTCCTGTATCTCCACACACAATTCATTGGCGCTAATCCGCTGTTCTTTGACCCCGAAGCCAGACATCTGACCAGCCCGGCCATTCGTCAAGTCTGCGGCGTTTAGAGGCTGGATTGACCGCCGCCCGGTTCGATGTTGATTGGTTGATTTTGAAGCGGGGGAGGGGCCACCGGCAGTGGACCCCAAGCCGGGGTGTAATAGCATATAGAATATCGACATCCCTGTCACCCAAGTTGCTGAATATTGGAACGCTGGTCATGGCCCGCTGCTATTTGTCTGCAGTGCAATAATGGCAACTGCTTAGTTATAAATAGAAAATGTAATGCTGGTAGTTATATTACGAGTATAACATAATGTTAATAGTAACATTACAACTAGAATATTGTGCTGATTTTTGAAGATTGGTGATGCTGGTTACCATACCTGATAACTGATTGTAGTGCAGATGGTTCGTACAAGTTTTTAAGGCCTTAAATGGAGCGCCCCACTTTTAGAGGATGTTTCAAAAACATACGTAAGTGAAACTTCAGGACCAGTTCCTTTGATAAATAGCACTGGGTAGTGTCATTGTAGCACTGTCAAGACATACTAAGGGTATTAATGTTAATTGTTTTCGGGTCCACGTTACGCCGTCGACGTTGTAACAGCACTATGCTTTTTTCTTGCTCTCACGACCGCCGTCATCATGACAACTGCCGTGGCACCTCTGCTGGTGCGAATAAAAGAACGCTTGTGACTGGCCCAGCGGGAGGCAAAGGTCTGGTACCAAGAAAAGCATTGGTTGATGTTTGAAACAATGCGTCACGATGGTCCATGTCATGCTTTTCTCCCGTAGCTGCGGCCACTTCAAATAGAAATCGTGAGCTATACACAACGATTTGGATAAAACTGGTGTTTCCGATTGAATCGTAGATACACAAAGGTGGCACACTCCCTGTAACCCCCCCCCCCCCCCCGAAAATCAACTGATCGTGCTTGCCGTCTGAATTTTGCAACTAACGCCGTTACGACCATACAATACCGCGTGCCTATCCAGAAACCAAGGGACGGAACTGCTTGGTGCTGCTGCTGACGACGCCACGCGTGATAGTAGGGAACACACCCAGGAGTGATTACGTCAAAGCACAGGAAATGAAACATAAACCAAATAAGCCACAACCCTCGTCAAGCGAGAGCCCCAGCGTCCTCCGAGATTTTCCGGAAATGACCTAACCCGCTGAAAGTGTGGTGCCTCCTCATTGAGATCATTTCGGTCGCGCGATACGTTAAGGCACACTAACGAACGGCTGTGGAACATGAGTTCTGATGAACTTCCCCCATTGACGTGGTCTTGGCGTCGATTGGTCACGTACGCTGATGTTTGGTGTAGCCAGTCTGACGTAGTTTGACGCCAAGGAGGCGATGCTGCTGTCCGCGGGGTCTTCAGTTTTGGAGGTGGTATGGGCCCTTGACCGGTGAAGGTGTGAAAACACCCGTCCAGCGAGAGCTCATCAGCACGTCACCGTGTCCGTCTGCTTGTGCTCTACAACGTGGATCTCTCAGTCCAAAACCCCATGTGGCGGGTGATATAGTCCCTCTGATATATCAAACATGTTCCTACACTCCATGTGCCAAGTTTTGTTTAGGAGCGTGCTGTGCTGTGACCAGCAGCCAACGCTATGTGCGTAGGCCGCGTACATCAGAACAATTTGTCTCGCACCGTCACAAAGATCAAGCTCAGCGATGTTTGTAAATCGGATGGAACCCAATGCTCGAAGGCTAGTCTTCAGTACCGGGCAGAAGCCAACATAAGAGCACAACACAGCTACACGCCCGGCCAGGGAGGCCGCCTGTCCTCGGCGGTCGTCGCTGCCGTGTGACGACCGGCAGCGGTCGGCAGGTATCCTGCGTCAGGCGGAGGAGGTGGAGTGCAGCAGCATCTGCAGCTTCTGCTCGCGCATGAAGCGGGGCCGCCTGTACGCGGCCGCCCGCCGCCAGGGCTACAACGTGTTGGCGTTCGGCCAGCACCTGGACGACGTGTCCGAGAGCTTCCTCATGTCGGTCTTCCACAACGGCCGGCTGCGCACCATGAAGGCCTGCTACGCGGTCACGTAAGTTACGCCCTGCGACGTAGGAGAGCCGGCCCGCCGCCGGCGGTCCGCAGCTGTGCTCCGTCACGTGGCGAGCTCGGCTATCCATAAATGCTCGCCGGTGTCTTCAGTCGTTGGTCAAGACGTGCAGGACTATATTAGGCGTGCCCGTGGCGTGACTAGCCTCCCGCTACTCACATCCGTGGCGTGACCAGTGTATCGCTATTCACATTCGTGGCGTGACCAGTTTCCCACTATTCACATCCGTGGCGTGACCAGTTTCCCGCTGCTCACATCCGTGGCGTGACCAGCCTCCCGCTATCCGAGGCGTGGCCAGCCTCCCGCTGTTCACGTCCGTGGCGTGACCAGCCTCCCGCGGTTCACATCCGTGGCGTGACCAGCCTCCCGCTGTTCACACTTGTGGCGTGGCCAACCTCCCACTTTTCACGTCCGTGGCGTGGCCAGCCTTCCGCTGCCCGCGTCAATGGCGTGATCATCCTCCGACCGCGACTATGTCCGTGACGCGGCCAGCCCCCCCCCCCCCCTGCCACCGCGTCCATGGCGTGAACCTGTGTTGCCGCGCGTGCTCGGCAGCGAAGAGGACCTGCGCGTTATCCGGCCGCTCATCTACGTCCGCGAGAAGGAACTGCGCCGGTTCGCCGAGTCGCGCGGCCTGCCGGTCATCCCCGAGAACTGCCCAGCATGCTTCGAGGAGCCCAAGGTGGGTTGGCGGCCGACGGCTCGTCGGACCAGCGGGCGCCAGCCCTGCTCCGCTGCTCTGTTATCGGGGACGGATTGGCGAGGTAGGGGAGGGGAAGGGGGGTAGTTGATAACCATGAGAAGCAGCTGCTGTTTTATACGACGCGGTGGTGTGATAGTGTAAGCCGCAGGTGTGTGTAGGTGTGTGAACAGACGTTGAATGATTTGTATGGATGGCGTACAGTTTTGTTATTTTCCTCAAAAGCCCAGCCGTAACATTGCGGACATAAATCGCTGGTAGGTCATTTTGATTACGAGCGAGGCTGCCGACTAAGTAGGCCACGCGCGAACGACGATAGACTATCAGCTGGGACAGTTCAGCTCTGCCCGGCCATCACGCTGTCTAGAAGGTAATATTTTTGGCAACAGCAGGCCGCTGGTTGCTTCAGCTTTCAGTGACACGGACTGCGGTTCTGATGAGATCTGGAGGTTTTACATTGCACAGTTGCCACGATTTTACCTCCCCCCCCCCCCCCCCCCGCCCCGCCGCATTCAACTAGCATGGCAACAGTTAGATGCGGACTTCCAAGATGCGGACAAAGCTGAGAACACAATTCGAAACCAGGCGTGAGCAAACCATGGATCCGTCCGTTTGTGGACGTTGTAAGGATTGCTGTCAGGCCTCATCAACGAGAGCAGATGAATGTATGAAACCGAATTCAGGACGCAAGCGTTTGCGTGGATTACAACTCAATACCTCGTCCCAGAATTGTCTGGACCGTAGCTGTAACATCGACGTGGACGATGCTCGGTGACATGGGGACCGGAAAGCGGCCGGTGGTGCCGGCTCCGAAACCCATCTAAAACACAACTCGTGGTGGCGTGATCAGGCGGGATTACGCCAGATAACGTACACAAGCGCGGGATTACGCCAGATGAGATATACAGGCGTGTTCTGCACACGCCTTCCATTTCGGTCATTATTAACCCAGCATATGCGCTGTTGTATTATTTCCATCACGATAGTTAAAACCGTGTAGCATTGTAAATTCGTCGATGTCGTGGATTCAAATTGACAGGCATGACCGCTCTCGGGCGGCGCACATTCAGACAGCCATGTTTGTGAATTTGCGAACAAATGCTACGTCGGGACCTCCATCTTGAGTTCTGTAGACCTCCAAGCGGGGTGATGGAGCCCACCGGTATCGGTGACCGAAGGCGCCCAGTTTTCGTGTTTTTTTTTGGGGGGGGGGAGGCACCATCCGCATGATAGTTTACGCCTATCCCGTGTGTCATTGCCTCGTATGATCACGACACATGATCATGATCAGTACATGATCGCATGCGCATGACGTGATCATGTTACATGACCAGTATCATGACTCGACTGACGGATGTCTACATGATTCACAACATATCTGCATTGACCATTCATGGCCACCGAACAATATCTAGCACTCAAACTGGTGTGCGTGACTCATTGCTCACCAAGCGCGGTGGCGCCGGAAGAGTACTGTGGACACCGCATGAGACGCCCCTGTCTCGGCAGGCCGCGTGCGTAGGTGGTCGGAGCTGTATGACATCAGTGGCATTAAGGGCTGTCAGTGACTGGCTTACTTCCATAGATAAAGTTCTTTCGACGACGCTGCCGCTCTTGTGTATCAGGACCGTATGGTGTAGGTGTTGACTAGCTGACCATTATTACCAGTAATATTCGGTGCGCGCCGTTAGACGAGCCAGGTGGTAAGAGACGTGGGTGGAGCATCAGGTGGACGCCAGAACCTAAAACAGTCGGGCTCGGACGCCTTTAAAAATCACACAACACGATATTCGTAATGCAATGCATTTCTTTCACGACAGCTTGACAGAAAATGAGCCTCACTGCGACAGAGTTCATGCGTTTATTCGCAAATCAGATTTCTCGAAAGTTGGCTGGGGCAAGGCGGGCAGTTTCAGCCGGCGAAATCGATATACGAAACAAAACACAATTATTGCGTTTTCAGGGGGCTCTAGCCCCCTCAACTTGGACTCTATTCCCCAACTTTGTGAAAAGTGGATCAAATCGGGGCAGTTTGTTGGCTAATTTGGGGTGGGTTTCGTCATTGTTTATCTCCCATTGCCGTTTGGATGGGACGCCTGCCATCCAGATCTGGGTCCGGTTGTTCGATGGGACGCCTGCCATCCAGATGTGGGTCCGGGTACGGCCCGGGTTCGGCAGCTTCTTTGCAGTTCTCAAATGTTATGTTTCCCACGTTGCTCGAGTGGGAGGTAAGATGGAGGGCATCGTTCTGCTGTTATGTTTCCCACGTTACTCGAGTGGGAGGTAAGATCGGGGGCATCGTCATATTGTTATGTTTCCCACGTTACTCGAATGGGAGGCAAGATCGGGGGTATCGTCATATTGTTATGTTTCCTACGTTGCTCTAGGCGGGACTGACTGGTCAGGCAAGTGAGGAGGTGTTTAAGTGCCGAGTTTTCTGTTAGTTAATGTTCAAATATTAACGTATATATTAACGTGTGTGAACAAATGTTAACGTATATAAATAGTCTTATAATATTTTCTGCCAGCGCGCGATCACGGGCAGATGTTATTCATCCTCGCAGCTGTTCTTCACCAGTCGTTCTGTTGACCCCAGGAGCTGGCACTGGGCCAGCAGCTGCGCGTGAAGCAGCTGCCGGCCCAGCGGGTGGTGCTGCTCCCGCGTTAGTTCCCCGCCTAACCGTGGCGCCGGCCCCCAGGAGCAGCACCGCGTGAAGCAGCTGCCGGCCCAGCGGGTGGTGCTGCTCCCGCGTTAGTTCCCCGCCTAACCGTGACGCCGTCCCCCAGGAGCGGCACCGTGTGAAGCAGCTGCCGGCCCAGCGGGTGGTGCTGCTCCCGCGTTAGTTCCCCGCCTAACCGTGGTGCCGGCCCCCAGGAGCGGCACCGCGTGAAGCAGCTGCTGGCACAGCAGGAGGTGTTGTTCCCGCACCTGTTCGAGTCGCTCCGGGCGGCGCTGCGGCCGCTGTACGCCATCACACGCACCGGTGTCGAGAGTCGCCTGTTCGGCCGAGCCGCCGCCGAGCCGGACGAGGACGAGGACGTGCCTTGCGCCGGCGGCCGGGCGCAGCGGACCGCCTGAGGGCACCGCGGCATCCCCAGGGGAGGTGGGGTGCCGAGCTCGAGCCAGGCCGGCCCGCTGTACAATCTGACACGTGACAGGGCAGCGGAAGAGGTTGGTCCTGGGTGACAGGGCAACGGAAGAGGTTGGTCCTGGCGCCCGATACGAGCGCCGTTGCCGGGCGCTAGACGAGCGCCATGTCGTTCGTGTGACTGGAGTGCAGGATGCCAGCTCAGGAAGCCGTTCGCAGACTCCGACGTCACGGCAGGCAGCCGGCTGTGGGTCCATGTTGCGTGAGGCCCAGCCCCACCCCGTTATAGCGTTGTCAGCCTTGTTCTCCACGAACCACGCCACTGGCGCGAATTGCAATGCTTCGCCAAGCGTCGGTTGCATTGAGCGGCAAATAATGCAACGCTACGCATCGGCCGCATATGATTTGGTTGAAATCTAAGCTAAAGTTTGAACTCTCACTGTCCATGAACTGCGTGAGGATCTTTCCCGCCTGATGGCGAGGTGGGATGCGACCAGTTCTTATCGGCCCATAGGGCTGTGTTGGCGCTTGATCAGTGCGGCCCGCGGTTGTTTTAGTAGATTCATGATGGCCGTGTGTGGCCCTGTCGCTCACCCAACGCCGTCGGCTCGAACGCAGAGGCGAGCGTGCAACAACAGCACGTATTCGAAGGCCTCTATGGCTTGCTGGATCGAAGAAAGATTGTCGCCAGCCGCATCACGCCGTACGCTGTGTGAATGTCTCTCGTAGAGCTGTTGACTGGCTGGTGACATTTTCCGCCAACAAGGAGCAAGTGTCGGATCATGTTTTGTCACACTTTTGGCGGTACAGCACCATCACAGGAAAAAGTGATGCCAAATTTGGCAGTTGGCAGCACTGTGTGTAATTATAGGGCTCCATGTACCCGCGCCGACAAGTTGCTGGTTCGGATGCTGTAACCAATGACCGCTGAGCATCCGCTGTTTTGCACGCGCTCACGAGGACGTCGCAAACCACCTTCCAAGTACTCTGATGGTACGAACAAACGAAACATTGTTTCGCTGGAGGTTGGGACCGAGTGTAACCTCGTAAGCCTCGCTGAAAGCCCGCCAGCGTCGCGAGTCCACGCGGTGAGGACATGGCCGCCGGGATGAGTCCACAGCTAGCCGAGGCCGCGGTCAGTGGTCCCCAAGGTCTTGATCCCGACGGGTATCCCAGCTCCGCCGCGCGGCATCCCGCCGGTGCGCACGCCCCGTGAGTCAGCTATCGCTGCGCGCCCTCTCCTCTCACAAGTGAGAACAGGTCCGGTCCGACGCCCCGCCCCGGCCCGGTGCCAGCGCGCGCGCACCGACGTCCGTCTGCCGCGTGTCACCCAGAGCTTAACGGCGCCGGCCGGGCCGGACGGCCCCCGTCCGTCCCTGTCGTGTGGCGTCAGCGCGCGCTCCGAGGAGGCCGCCGTCCGTGGCGGGCCTGCGCTCGCTCGTCGACGCCTGCCGACGAGAGCAGGACTGACTGCGTCCGGGACACGGGACACAGGACACGGCACGGTCCGCTGGAGCGGCCGGATGCTGGTCTTTCCGTGCTGCCCCTGCGATCAGTGTTAATGTGTCGCGCGCGACTGTGCTGCGCTGGATGGTGTCGCAGGCGAGTGCAGCACGTCATGTCGATAGAGGTCGCACAGAAGTGGTGCCAGGTCTCAATTGTGCGCTGCACGTTACAATACAGAGTGCCTCGTAAGCTCTTATCTTGCCACGAGCATGGGAAGCGGGACGTTTGAAGCTGAGAAGTGGAACTGATCTTGTGACAGTAACATCAGCATATAACATAACTTGTAACATCAGCGATGAAAACAACTTCAAGTACGACGACGAAAACCTGCCGTATTCTACGATCGCATCCCAATAAACGGTGCGTGAAACATTAAAATAACTAGAACAGTGTCTCCGTAACACTAACAGCTTACCGGCACGTGTGTCACATCGCAGAAGTACGTTACTGGCCGAAAGGCTCTGCTAATTATGCAACTACAGTAGAAACCTAGCACACCATCGCAGCGTTCCCCTGGGCCGCCCACTGCTTGCACTGCGGCCGCCGCGCAAGTCGCCCACTGCTTGCATTGCAACCACCGCGCAAGTCACGCACTGCTTGCGCTGCAACCGCCGCGCAAGTCGCCCACTGCTTGCACTGCAACCGCCGCGCAAGCCGCCCACTGCTTGCACAGCGACGGAACCACCGCGCAGGTCACGCACTGCTTGCACTGCAACCGCCGCGCAAGTCGCCCATTACTTGCACTGCAACCGAACCGCCGCGCAAGTCGCCCACCGCTTGCACTGCAAATGCTGCGCAGATCGGCCACTGTTTGCCATCATCGGCTCCACACCTTGCTGTATATTTGTGTCCTGAAACAGCACAGGGCGCGCTCTAACACAGATGGCAAACTTACCAGCTGGCCTGACTGGGTCAAGCGGTGGGTCATTGGCAGCGGAAGACGCATCGGTGCTGCTCGTGCGAACCAAGCTGACGGTACGCCGGGACACGCGACCCGAACACCGCCATCGCACGTGAGACAGGCTGACGGTATGCCGGGACACACGACCCGAACACCGCCATCGCACGTGAGACAGGTTGACGGTATGCCGGGACACACGACCCACACATCGCCATCGCACGCGAGACAGGTTGACGGTATGCCGGGACACACGACCCACACATCGCCATCGCACGCGAGACAGGTTGACGGTATGCCGGGACACACGACCCACACATCGCCGTCGCACGCGATACAGGGCGTGCTCAAGAGGACAGTGCAGCGCCCTTTTTCCTGCCTTTTCTTTCCGCCACCGTATTCATAGCCCTACTCGGAGTCCAATTCGAAAATGCTTATTCCTTTTCCGCTGAGCCCCTTTCTCGGCGCGAAATCGTGCACACGTCCCCGCCACTTTCGCCTTTGTGTGAATTTTGATTAGGCAGCCGTTGTGGCTCATCGAGAGAACATGCGATGTCGGGGTGGACACAGCGTATTTCTGGCGTCCTGTCACCAGTGCGATAGCGCCATGCGACGGTTGCAGGGAACAACCAAACCCGTCTCGTTCTAGCGGAACCGAGCTCTGCAGATGGCTGATTGCAGACACATTTGCACAGAGATTTGCACAGTCGGCCGTTGCAAGTCAAGAATCTTATCATGTTGGTACGCTGTAGGCTTGTAGCCTCCCATTATTGCTTGAGCGGAGATGGCATATGGGGCACGTATCATAAACGGACTCAAAAGCATATCCCAAAGTGTATATTGTCATGAGCCCATTGCCAGATGTCTTTCCTGACTTCCCTCTTCCCCCCCCCCCTCCCCCAGCTCGGTCGGCTTGAATGACACGCATATCATATCCAAATAGCGTTTTATGCTATCGGCGTGTGCGTTTGGCGTCATACCCACGTGGCCGTAGCGAATTTTACTGCGGGGAGTAGGAACCGACCAGCTCTGCTAAACAAGACCAAGGGCGATCATTACTAGTTATGGACAACAACGCATCCGATATGGAAGTTGGGCGTGAACCGAGCTTCAAATGTAGTGTGCACAAGTTTCCACCGCCATCAGAGGAGCCCTGATCACGCTTCCCCCCCCCCCCCCCCTCCCCGACACGTAACTTGGCATGCGACTATACACTGGAGCAACGAGGATCCACTGCGGCCTTCACCATTAACCTCTCAACGATTGTCTGTACCAGGCCCGCAATATATTGATCTATCAGCGATATCCGCGACCCCGGATGGGGGAAAGAGGGGAGGGGGCGTCATCGATAGCCCGCGACTGGTCAACGCTAACATTCAGGCTCGGAAGTACGGCGCACAGCGTAATAGAACGACCATGATGCGACCGAGATTCCAGTCTTTTCATCCCCGCTCTACCCCTGGTAAAAGTCGGCTGTCCTTTCTACTCAGTCATCATGCCCTTCTGACGAACAAAAAACAACAATGCGGTCGCCACATAATGCGCAAACGTCGAAGGCAAGCCAACGGTGGCTGGCCGGAGGCTGCCTACAACAAGCGAGCATCGCGCGGCGCGTGTGTCGCCTGTGAGCTGAAGATCGCAGGGCCTGTGTGGGCTTCCTGCGAGCGGGCTTTGACCCCACTGGGCCCACCTACCCTACAGACGACTCGCGTTGATTGGTGTTGCACCATTGTCTGGTCTCTTGGAGGGCAGTATTTGCACTTTCATTGTTTTTCTCAGCTTCTGCTCTCGTCTACTCTCCCAAAAGAGATCATTCTCGCTATTGTTGGAGTTTGTTATCCTATCGTAAAGCAATGAAAGCAGGCAACCAGTTGTCGACAGAGAGAAAAATTGCTGCTCCTCTGCAGAAAGCCCAGGATCTGGTCCCTGAGTCAGCCAGGCCTGACATTATACCCCCCCCCCCCCCATTCTTATCATTTTATCGCCGCTCTGCGCGTCGCTGGCGACCTTACCGTTTGGTCCTGGCGAAGCAACAACCGGCGACGCTGGAGACGACGAGGATCACAGTGATGGCGATGGCGATGCCGCCCAGCAGCCAGCCCTCGGCCGTCAGCAGGTGTCGCGCCGCCGCCAGGCAGCCCACACTGTAGTACGAGTCGGCGTTGGTGGGTGCTGCCTCGCACGCCTCGCTCGTGCCGTTCGGCAGCCGGCGGCAGCAGCTCCAGGGCACGACCGTCGTCAGCGAGTTGTTCCGTGCCCAGTCGAAGCCGCTGACGACGCCGCAGCAGCGGAAGCCACTCTGCAGCATGTCCCAGGCGCGCGTGACGTCGGCGTGGCTGCCATAGTCTGCCAGGGAGCGGATGAGCGCAGCCTCCAGCCGGCCGGCCAGCGGTCCCGTGACCAGCAGCGCGCCCACGGCCGTCAGCAGCGTCAGCAGCGTCAGCAGACCACTCAGCACGCTGAAGGTGAGCGTCAGGCAGCGGCTGCGCAGCAGCGCACCGCCGCCGCCCAGCAGCGCCAGCAGCAGCAGCAGTGAACCGGCACCGGTCAGCAACCAGGCGGCACCGCGGGCCAGCAGCACGCCGGCCAGCACGGCAGCGCGCGAGCCATCTGACACCAGCGCGTCGGCGCCCACAGTCAGCAGCAGCAGCGCGCCCACCAGCAGCAGCAGGTTTTCGGCCAGCAGCGCGGCGCGCAGACAGCCTGGACGGCTGCATGTCATCCTCACCGGACCGCAGCGGCGTGGCTCGGCAGCGGACGCGTAATCTGGCACTGCCGCTCGGACCCCTCAAGTGGCTGGCGTGATATCGGACCAGGGACGCGGCCTTGGTCAGATATCGGCCATCAGCTCGCGCAGCTTAGTAAGGGGAGGCGCTTCAGGGTTAACGAAGGCCCCCGAAATAAATTGCCGGATAACGTCGATTTATTCATGAAAGCATGTTTGTCTTTTTTTCATTTTCGCCTTCTATAACTGGAACAGAGTTCTAAGGTACCGCAAGATCAATTCTGCCTGAATTGTATATTAACACGCGCCCGGGTGTCCGGCTAGATATTCCTCGCTCGGTGGGGGAGAGGTTCAATTTGACTCCACTGAGATCTCGGGAACTAAGAAAGCTACAAACACCAAATTTGCAGCGTGTGTTGACCTGTATGTGAACTCACTTAGGTGAAAGTTTCAGATTCCTAGGTCATGACCTTCAGATCAAAAAAGGTCAAGCAAGGTCACGTTCCAGGTTGTTCTCCAAGTGCCCCCAGAACCTATGAAACTTTCCAAACAAAAGTTCATATTCTCATTCAAGGTCAGTGACCTTGTTTGACCTTTTGAAGGTCAAGGTGACCAAAATCATGCAAGATTGCTTTGACTTTGACTAAGCGACAGAGATAACGCTAGGCAGTATTTACAGCTCATTCAAATGTTGTTTTGCCTAAGAAAGCATCCCACAGATGTATGGCTTCGTCAAACACTCCGCTGTTAGATCGGATTGAAGGATTCCCTAGAAATTGCCTTCGCTGAAACAATGGCCTGACTTTGACCTGCCATAGGTCAGTGACTTTACAAGGTACACCTGAATTTTTTATGCCAAACGATCCGCTATTCAATCGTCTGCAGATATACAGAATTTGGCGCGGCTATGCCGCGCCGTTCGGAAACCATTCTGGAAAACTTTCGGGGGGTCAATTTGACCCCCACCCGAGCGCGTGTAAGAAACCGCAGAAATAATGTGTCATACGAGTGCATGGAATAAATCACCGGCGCTCTTCATTTTGAAATGATCAAGTGAGCTCTTTCCAAACCGATGGAACTTCGAAGCTTTGCCAGAATTTTGACCTGGTTTCTTCAGAATGTAGATTTCGAATCCCGCGAAGGTAGATGGTAGATCGAAATGGGTAACTATTTGTATTAGCCTACCGGGAGTGTTCAGCATTCAGTCAGACTTGATTGGGGATGCATATAATATAACGCAGTTTTGAACATGCGCGCTCGCAGATCTTGCCAACGAGTACCTCAACGTTATGCATTGCAGTCTCTGTAGGCCGCGCAGCGCCGGCGCCGCGGTCAACACTAGGCCGTGGCTGAAATGTGGACGAAAATCTCGACGCATTTGAAAGAAGTACCTTCGCACGTCTCATGACACGAGATCGTACCTTTCGAGGGTAGTTCGGGCGTACATTTCACCTGTGCAACTTTTAGATTGATGACAACGGATTTGCCTCACGGTATCGCGAAACGGTGCTGAAACCTAATGGTGAAACTGAAGGAGTAAAGGTAGAATCTCTGTTTTTCGTGTTGCTGCAACTGTTAATCTGTCTAGGGGACAAACTCGAGGTTATATACAGATACGCCAAGCCTGATCTTTGAACGGTGTGAGTTAATTTTGAAGGACACTCAGATTCGTAAACATTATTTCACGACGGTCGTCCTCGCGCACACGACGCCGGCTCCCCAATGTTACCTGCAGTGACCAACACCGTTCGGTTTTACGGAAACCGGAACCCCGACCGTCGCCGTCCTTGTTTTCAAGATTGTAGGCGCGCATGCCCAAACCCTTCGACAAATTTGTTTTACTAGTCAGCTCTGCAAAGGTATAAGCGTTCTCAGGTAAACATGGGATGACCTTGTTCATTTTTGAACCCACTTCGACCCACCCTGTTCAACGCTAATGTGGCCCCTTACTTCTCTTCGGGCAACGGATCGCCTTGAGTAGAATACTGGGGGTACATTATTGCTCCCGCTCCAGGCCTGAAGCGCCATTCCGTCCTACCGTAGGGTGTCTTCCGGCTGCCACTTTGGCGACGCGGGGTCGGACCCCTGGTCGATCCGGAGGCCCTTAGTGACATATATCATATCACATCGGTCCCCGTCCTGACGCGGAGGCCTTCTGACCCGCGCAGTTGGCCCCGGATCAACACAGGAACCCCCATTGACGCAACAAGATTCCTGATCGCTGCAGGTGGTCCAATAATTGGCTCATATACTTCAGTTCGGCCCGATGGGCCCACGCAAGAATTGCGCTGGAGGGCCCACCGCTCGGTAATGAGGACCCTGAATGGCACAGGGTGTCTCAATGTGAAAGCTCATCATGAGTTATCATGTTTCCCTTCATTAACCGAGGGCCCTGACCAATGCAAGAGGCCCCTGACGTTGGAGGTTTCATCACCGTCCCTGTTGAGCAAATGTTCCCTGGTCCACTCGGGGCCACTTGTTGACACAGCATCCTACTAGGCGCTGTGGGCTCCTGACCGATACAGGAGCCTCGCATGTTATCAGAATCCCCGAACAATGTAAATAGTGGCCCCAGCCTTATACCTTCTTGTGAAATGGGCCCAGAGTTCAGACCGACACGGAGCAGACTGTTCGGTGTTGGTGATCCAAGACCGGAATAGAGGAACGCTCTGTGTCAGGGGCCCCCCGTCGGTAAGAGGATCTCTGACTGACACTTGTGATCACGGCCCTGCAGACGGGATCCTTAATGTGACCTTCAGCCACTCCTTCGGGCCCTTCAGCCATCCAGTGGGGCCCTTGATCTCTCGTCCCGAGAGACCCTTCGGCCCCACTTCGGGCCTCTCAAAGACGGCTCCTGGCCGACTCGGGGTCACTTGCTGCCACACAGCCCCCGTTAGACACTAGTCCTTGACCGACACAGAAGCCCCGCACTGTGCCAGAGACCCCAAACATCGCAAATCGCGAGCTCCAATCCTGTTCCTGCTCGGAAAATGGGTCCCAAGCACGCAGACGGACACGGCCCGGATCGAGGCTGTATATAATAGGGACAGAAAGCCCTAATAAGAAGGCCCTCATAGAAGCCCCCTGGGCCTCATCAAGCACTGCCCTTGGTCGACTCCGGCTCCCCTGCAAGCACAGGGCCGCTGTCAAGCGCGGTGAACCCCTGACAGATACAGGGGCCCCGACCAGTGTAAATCGCTGGCCCCGGGTTCGCAGATGATTGGGAAGTGGCTCTTTAGGCTCGGCCCATACCGACACAGAGCCGACTGTGCGGCACTGGTGGTGTCTGCCCGACCTCTAGGACCTTATCGACTCAGGGGGTCTCCGATCGGCGAAGGAGCCCGCTGGCTGTCACTGAGGGCCCGTTCCCACAGGCTGGGGCCCCTGAATATGACTCCGACCAGATCTTCGTGTCCTTAGGCCCTCTTCTCGGGCCTTTGATTGTCGATCCCGGTGGACCCTTCAGGCTCTCTGGGCCTCCTCGAACACTACTTCTGACCGATTGAGGGCCCCTTGCGAACACAGAGTCCCCTGTAAGGCGCTTTGGGGCGCTGACAGACGCTGGGGCCCCGACCAATGTAAATCGCTGGCTCTGACTTCGTCCATGCTTGGGAAATGAGCCCTCAGACCCATGCCGACACGGAGCCAAATGTGCGTTATTGGCGGTGTCTTGACCAACATATAGGACATTATCGACTCCGGGGTTATTCGAGTGTCAAATCGCATTTAGGAGACCCAGCCCTGCGGGCTGGGTCTCCTAAATGCAACCTCTGACAGTCCTATCGGACCTTTAATCTTTGGGAACGAACATAAGGGGAGTATCGCACGTGTTCGTTGTGCCCCTGCCTGCGCCACTGGAACGGACTTGCTGTTGAAGTGGGCGATTGCTAATAAGATCGGTGAATGATAAGATATAGTGGTAAGATATAGTGGTAAGATGCAAGTGCTCCCAACCTGCCGACTTATCCCGCGTCAGGCGGCCGACGGTGGCACGGGCCGCCCCTAGACTGCAGCTGCGGCCAACTCCGTGTTTGAGGCCGTTATTGGCAACCGGCGCTCTGCTACGGGCCATTAACTTGCTTCCGCAGGTTGATCGTTCTGCATTTTTGTGAACGCCAACTGCTATGACGCGTCGCATCTAGAAGCAAACTGGACAGGGCTGGATCAGGCTCAGTTCTCTAGTGTTACAAAATGATTTGGTACCGTCAGGAATGTCACTTTGCATGCTTTCCGGGTGCCCTGACCTCCCGCCCCCTCCAATGCTTACTTGATCCGACTCAATGCTCTTTTGAGCCTCCCAACGAACGTGGGCAAAAATGGAATATTGGGCCAATGAAATGCAGTTAGTGTCTGAACCGCTCATATACTGGGTTCTAAACGCATCACCGGCTATACCACCATCGTATATCATTATTAACACTATCACATCAACTTCAAATTGAATGCCATTCCTCAACAATATCAAAACAGTTTTGGAATCTATCAAGTATTGCCTTTCTGTTCTAGTTTCAACATCAGGAACGCAAATCAAAGTGACCGGAATCCGAGGAGAAAATCAGGATTTGGGGGTGGGTTAGGCCAACTTTATTGGACCGATCTGATCTGGACCGACCGGCGTGACCCCCAACCGATCTGAGAACGTGATACCCCCGGGCACCACCTTCATATCACCAGCGTATCCGGTACATGTTTGCTTATCTTTCGCTCTGCAGTTGAAACGCTGAACGTTTCATTCATGGAATGTTTACATGACAATTGTCACCATTTCCACGTTGCTGGGTTTGCTGTCTGACGAAATATATTCAGCCAGCTCTAAAACCATATGACACTGACAAAACCATGCGCGACCAATATTCACTCACATTGTTCACGCATACTGCGCAAGACTAGATTTGGTGCAAACAGTGTCATACGCTGCTGAAAACTCATCGATAGGCAGTTACACGGCGCCAGCTGCTCAGAGCATGTGACATCAAAGCCTGGCGGACTGTAGCCTGAGCTGCACCTGAGCGCCGCCTCAGGACATGAAGTCCGCCAGGGACGAGTAGCATTGGAACATGCCCAGCCCTGGACGAGGTGTGCCCACCGGCGTACAGGGCGAGGCCTGCGGTCAACCAGCAGGGAGCACAGCGGGCAGACGCCAGGGGAGAGCTGGCGTACAGGGCGAGTCCGGCGATCAGCCAGCAGGGAGCACGGCGGGCAGACGCCAGAGGGGCGCTGGCGTACAGGGCGAGTCCGGCGATCAGCCAGCAGGGAGCACAGCGGGCAGACGCCAGAGGGGCGCTGGCGTACAGGGCGAGTCCGGCGATCAGCCAGCAGGGAGCACAGCGGGCAGACGCCAGAGGGGCGCTGGCGTACAGGGCGAGTCCGGCGATCAGCCAGCAGGGAGCACAGCGGGCAGACGCCAGAGGGGCGCTGGCGTACAGGGCGAGTCCGGCGATCAGCCAGCAGGGAGCACAGCGGGCAGACGCCAGAGGGGCGCTGGCGTACAGGGCGAGTCCGGCGATCAGCCAGCAGGGAGCACAGCGGGCAGACGCCACGGGGGAGCTGGCGTACAGGGCGAGTCCGGCGATCAGCCAGCAGGGAGCACGGCGGGCAGACGCCAGAGGGGCGCTGGCGTACAGGGCGAGTCCGGCGATCAGCCAGCAGGGAGCACAGCGGGAGGACGCCAGAGGCCGCGCGGTCGCAGCGCCCACAGACCAACTGAGAGTGGTCTCCCAGCCCGGGCGATGCTGTCGCCGAAAGCTCACGCTGACTTATTGCTTTGTACATGGTATACCTTACACCGATTAGTGGTCGGCGGGGCAACAGCAGATCCGCGCGCGATGCACACAAGCTACGGGATTTACAGACGCGGCGCTTGCGGCGCGATAAGCAGATGATTGTCCTTAGCGGTCGGGCATGCCACAGTCGAGCCCTGCTCAGCTCGTGTCTAAGCGGGCTGCAGCGGCTGGAGCTCCACTGAATGTCTGAGGCAAGCCATCGCTATCGCTGCGTGGACGTAGCCCTTTCGCTCGCTTCCTCCAGCTCGCGACCGAGACTTAAAAAATGTCTGCCATCACACACAGCCGGCCTCGCACAAGTTCTCGGCGCTCTGAAAGTCACCACGCTAAATGTCCGCTCGCTCGTCAATTTTTGGAACGAATTTTATCTCGGCGTACTCGGTCCGCGCCGGCTCGTTCCTGCTTGCGCCCGCTAGATGTCTCTGCTCGCTGGGCAGTAGGTGTCGTTCGTTGCGGTACTTCCTCATTGAACCGTTGTTGGAGGTTTTTGGCAGCTGGAGGTCGGCGTAGATGATGCCTCCTCGCGAGCTATCACTTTTCCCACTGTCTCCGTCTTCACCACGGTGCTGTAATCATGGCATGCTAAAATTACAACAAGGCAACTCGGTCGCCAGCTGATGATGCTGGGCGGCGTGACTCTCTGAACAAGTGAAAAGGTGACAATGTTCTCAGTGCTCTGTGATTAGCGTTCCAAACCTGTTTTTGAAGCAAAAAATGTATCCTAAGGCTATTTCTAGCAAAAATGGAAAGCTTTCTTGGAAGCGCAACTCCCTTTAAAAGGACAAATATATCACCAGCAGCATCAATCATCAAATCATCTCCCAGGGCACTACCGCGCTTTTCGATGCGTGGTGAAGCCGGAGCACCCGTTAACTAGACAAATTCGTGGTGACAACTAACAATACAATAGCAAAATTATTGTATGGAACGATATGATAGCACAACAAGGCTATATACGATTCGAGAAACAAATGACTAGCTTAAAGCATGCCTGAGAAAGCTCAGGTTCCAGCATACACATGCAGTCAAGGTGCGCACATCGTCCGTTTTCATGCAGGGTTCTCAGACTGAAAGGCAGAACATCGCAGGGAGACTGATGGTTTGATAAAATGCCTCGCCATACGAGCAGCAAAGACCAGCATCCGTCTGACGAAGTGGCGCGTGTTTCTCGGTGCTTGCTGCGCCCAGTGACGAGACATTAAAAAAGTTCTGAATTCTACCGAGTCGGGTTGCCGGCTGTTGAGCTGGATGTCGTGAAGCAAGCAGTGGCCTTTGGTGACTTCTGATGTGGTCTATAGCAGGTGAAGTGCGCTGAGATCTAAAGTAGGTGTGTGGTGAGATTAAAAACGGGTGCGAGGTTGAGTCACGCTCTGTGGAGTGCGGTGCCAATTGCGGTGCCGACACGAGCCGTCCGAGGTCAGCTGGCGCGGAGGGCGAGCCTCCGTGGCGGACACTGACGCTGGGCCACAGCTACAGCAGCGGAGGGCGAGCCTCAGTGGCGGACACTGAAGCTGGGCCACAACTACAGCGGCGGAGGGCGAGCCTCAGTGGCAGACACTGACGCGGGGCCACAACCACAGCGGCCGCGGCGCGGCGAAGTGTGCCGGCGGCGGCCGCGTGCGCCGGTGCAGCCGCCCCGGCGCGAAGGCGGCTGGCCTTGTGATGGTGCCATGTAGACAGTGCTGCCACTCGGCGGCCGGCTTTGGAGTCCGTCGGCGCTTACCTTGGCTGCCTCTCGCAGACCGTGACCACCGTGCTGGCCATGACCGCCCGGCTTCTTCGGTCCCGAGTACAGCGCGTCCGGTGGGATAGCGCCCAGGCCCTGGCGGGCGGCGCCCTCCGTCCGGCTCTCTACCTCACTCTTTTCGCTGCAACACCCACCGGACACGCGGTATAGCGAGGAGCGGTGCGATAGCGACGGTGGCGCCGTCGGCGGTCAGCGGCGGAATGTGCCACGACGAGCGTTTCGGAACAGACGCAAGCAGAACGTAGCAGGCTTGTTAGTGGGAACGCAAACGCAAGGCAGATAGCTAAAAACGCAGAACGGGTACAAACATGGCTGCAAATTATAGGGATGCGACGTCCTACTGACTGCTATCAACTGCTAAAAACTGGTCTCGTCCAAGCTAAGCTACCATTCCAGGAATATGAAAGGGTGGGAGAAGCGGAAAAGTACGTTTTTCACTCACCTTTCCAGATCAGTTGGCTTGAAACCTCCCTTTTCTGAAAGCAAAGAAGAGAGGCAAGGTTACAAGTGCATTAGGCGAACAAGAAAGTTTGGTACGCGTCCGTGCTCCATTTAGACCAACAACGGGTAGAAATTCAGACAAAACCGTTGTCTGTGCACGTGTAAAACTATATGCATCATGTTGGAGTTGTATGTTCATTAATTAAACGTCGTTATAGTGTCACGGTTTGTCTGCGGATGAATAGACTTAACGGAAGGACTGTTCCCCATAAAAATGCAGAGCAGTTAAGAGGACGTTCTCTTCTCCTGGTCGAAAAAGGGAGCAGGATAGGAATAAAATAGACAGATAGACACATGCATTTTGGTGTTCAAGCAATGAAAAGTGGAATTAAACGAACGTCTTCCACATAGATAAGGCGGTAGTATGAGCCTTATTCCTCGGAGAAAAACCAGGACAATGGAAATATAGTTGGGCAAATATTTCGGCAACATGTCCTTATCGAAACAATGGCAGAGACAATCTTCCGCTTTTGTTTCGATAAAGGTATGTTGCCAGAATATAACCCCACTATATCTCCACTCTCCTGGTTTTGCTCCGAGGAATAAGGCTAATACTATTGTCTTATCTATGCGAATAATGTTCCTCGCTAATGCACTGAACAACTTACGGAATGTCTTCCACATTTACGAACCCATTCAAATGAATACAAAATTGCCCAAAATTGCGCAATTAGTGACACATGCTCGCTGCTACGAATACGAAAAGTTACCTTTGCGAAATGTCCTCGTTAGGGCATGCAAGAAGGTTGCTAGTCTGTGTTACAAGTTTATTGCAAATGGACAGTGGAGAAGTTGAAGTAACATTGCAGCACCACGACAGAGCACACAAAGGTGGTAGATGCAGGTGGCCAGCGCGGGTGCTCCGAGGTTGGACTATGCATGCCCATCGTGTTGGGAGTTGGGAGCCACCAGCTGCACCCTCGTCAGGAGTCTTGCACCCGCTCAAAATGGCATGTGTCGCATTCACATGGATAACTTAAAGATAGGTACTATTGGAAACTTTCGTTCCCTGGTTTTCATTGGATCATTCTGACGAAGCGGTTCTTCTTTCAACGCTATCTGAGACAGATGGTCTGGCATTGGCACGTTCTTATACAGAAACATCACACTTCTGAAGCCAGCCTGAACCTCAACACAGGTGGCAACGCTGGCGGCGCCCGCGTACCTCATCGCTTGTCCACCAAAAAGGCACTACCGACGCGTGTTCAACAGGCCGCGGTACAAAACACCCAACCCGGCACTGCCCACTGGTTGTCTCGCGGCACTGGCCTCAGCTGGGCACCCTCGGGCGCGGCGTAGTCTGCGCTCGATGACTACCACCCACACACCAGCCAGCTAAGCCAGGTGCCGCGGGCGCCGGTCTGTTGGGCGGCTGCGGGCCAATGTCAGTGGGCTCAGGGCGGTCTGTAGTGTCCCGTGAGACCCCGGTCCTGCCCGGAGAGCGCTGGCTTCCGCCGGCCGTGCCTCACTTGGCGCGGCCGGTCGGCCCGTACGCGTACAGCAGGTCCTGGCTGGGGACCGACTCGGATACGCGGACCGGACCTACAGGCGCACAGCATGCGGGTGAGGCGCACAGCACCGCCCGGCTGTCCACAGCACACGGCGCGGCCGCGCAGCGGCTGGCGGCCCAGGTCAGTTGGTGCTACCGAGGGACTAATGAGCTGAGCTTGAAGGACTAATGAGCTGTCACCGCCACCATTAGTTGGACAGTTGCCAAGAAGGCAGTAAACGTCGGTTCCTTGCACTGACGCTTATAGTGTTGTAATCTGCGTCGCTCACCGTACAATACATCGTTTGTGGCAGAGTGCGACATACAATATCTGCGTAAGACTGAAATATTTTATTTCGCGCTTTCCAAGATAAACTTAATATAAAGGGATGTGACGTATGCGCTACAGGTAAAAATCCGCCGATCAGGTAAGTGATACACAGCCTGGCGATGTCTCGGAGGCGACCAATCCTCACAGGTAGTCCATTGAGCTTCCACCGCCGTTAATGGGGTTAATGTTTAGTCTGATGCGGTAACACGACGACAGCTCATCGGCTCACTATGACGACCAATAATTCTGACGCAATAACAAGACGGTATCAATTTTTTGTTACTAGTGACTATCGTGTGCAATATATAGTTGCTACCGTGACGTATTTATCAAGACCACTCGCAAAAATGTAGAATTATATATATATATATATATATATATATATATATATATATTATAATAATAAAGAAAGCAATGCAGAAAACGCATTTGGCAGAACGAGTCCAGGTGTCTAAAATACAAAAGAGAGAAAAACATCTTACAAAAATGGACTCATGTCCGAGAAAAAAGCCTTTAAAAGCGTAGGAAGACGGGATTTTGCACGTGGCTTCCATGACTTGACACCAGCTTCAGAAGTCGTATCGTTGGCAGCGCTGGAAAAACACGCTCTAGGAAAGAGCTACTTAGGGTAATGCAGCTAGGCCAAGTGAAACTCAAGACCCCCCTCTGGTGCGTCAAAGCGGTTCCAAAACCCGTGAGCTGGAAGCCTTTGCTGGGCCCGTGCAGTGCGATCTCAAGGCGCCCCACGACGTGAGTGCACCGTGCTGGTGTCCATCCGTCCGTCGGCCGGTGCTCCGGTGCACAACGCCGGTGCTCGTCACCCGCCCGAGTACTCACGTGAGAAGCACCATTTCTCCTTTTTAAAGGCGTACAGGAGCAGCGCTACAACGAGCACGAGGAGCACCAAGCAGCCGCACACCAGACTGATGACGGCCGTCATGGTGACCGGCTCTGTAAGCAGACGAAACCCTGAAACAACGGCCCACAGCGCTACCGTCTGCCCGGGACGGCCGCCGGCGGCAGCACAGGCGAGCCACGCGACAGCCCGGACGGAGAGAGCCCTCAGCGCTACTGTCTGCCCGGGACGGCCGCCGGCGGCAGCACAGGCGAGCCACGCGACAGCCCAGACGGAGAGAGCCCTCAGCGCTACTGTCTGCCCGGGACGGCCGCCGGCGGCAGCACAGGCGAGCCACGCGACAGCCCAGACGGAGAGAGCCCTCAGCGCTACTGTCTGCCCGGGACGGCCGCCGGCGGCAGCACAGGCGAGCCACGCGACAGCCCAGACGGAGAGAGGTGGGGAACCACACCGTAGACAGGTCTGCAGTTTCGCGAGCAAGTTCGGGGCAGAGCAAGGAAAATAGCTGAACGTAACCAAAATGTCACAAAAAACGTGTTTCTCCACGGACTTGATCCATTTTTTTTCTCAAAGTTGGCGCGTTGGTACCCCTCTTACTGAACAGGAAACCACATCCCTGACAGGAGGCCACACCGGCGCTGGACGGGGCCATACAGCCGCCGAGCAGACGCAGAAAGGACTGGTGGGGGGAAGAAATACCCGTGCATGGCCTGACCCCTACCATTGCAAGCGCAGAAGGTACGGGTCAAGCCAGCGAGACACGGAGACGCGATAAACCAATGAACATTCGATGACGTGGTTTATCCCGTTCAAAAGCATTTATGCACGTTAAGTCTACGGACTCCATAAGAGGTAGAGAGCTTAGATATTTCTTCAAACTTACGTTTAAAATAAGCGAAACAAACTAAGCGCCGTCAATGCCAAACACCGAGATGAATATTCAAATCAAATTGTTGGCACAAATAATGTAGAGGTATGCACAGACATGCATTTCGTTAAACAGTTTTTGCTCTTCACATGCGGGCGTTCTGTTTTGTGACGAGCGCTGATAGCAGGTACCATTAGGCCCGTGGAACAAGCGAATTACAATTTGACGGGCCTTCGAAGACATGCTCTCCGATAACCCTCCGATACGCATGCAGCGATTACCGAGGTCAGCACGTGGCAGTCATTACAGCGTATCTCAGTGTGGTCGGCATGTCGGTTAGTATCAATGCAGGGAAATATGCCTAACAACATATGCAAATTGTTTAAATTTAGATGTTTTTTTCAGACGTAACGCATGTTTTTGGTTACCTTACAGCTGCTCTCTCACGCACTGCTCACTAAGGGCATCTCAACAAGGCACACGACTATCAGATGTCGTCAGAGCGGCTGAGCGGCATCAGTCGCTGAAGTGACCTGGGAGCCTCAGAGAAGAGCCGTTCTGTGCTGGCCACCGTGCCCTGGCCGGGGCGCAACAACTCCGGCCGCCGGCGCCGCGCTCACCTTTGACCCGCAGCGCCAGGCCGTACTGGTCAGAGCCGCGGTCGTTCTGCACCTTGAGGTAATAGTCGCGCTCATCGGCGGCCGTCACCTGCAGCACCCGCAGCCGCGCCCGGTAGCAGTCTTCTGTCGTATCCTGCGGGGGCCATCGGTGGGGTCAGCCGCCGGTCGACACGGCCGGGCCCGAGGACACCCCCGACCGGCCTCTCCACCGGGGTGACTGACGAGCGGGACTCAGCGGCCCGAGGACACCCCTGACCGGCCCCTCCACCGGGGTGACTGACGAGCGGGACTCAGCGGCCCGAGGGCACCCCTGACCGGCCTCTCCACCGGGGTGACTGACGAGCGGGACTCAGCGGCCCGAGGACACCCCTGACCGGCCCCTCCACCGGGGTGACTGACGAGCGGGACTCAGCAGCCCGAGGACACCCCTGACCGGCCCCTCCACCGGGGTGACTGACGAGCGGGACTCAGCGGCCCGAGGGCACCCCTGACCGGCCCCTCCACCGGGGTGACTGACAAGCGGGACTCAGCGGCCCGAGGACACCCCCGACCGGCCCCTCCACCGGGGCGACTGACGAGCGGGACTCAGCGGCCCGAGGACACCCCTGACCGACCTCTCCACCGGGGTGACTGACGAGCGGGACTCAGCGGCCCGAGGACACCCCTGACCGGCCCCTCCACCGGGGTGACTGACAAGCGGGACTCAGCGGCCCGAGGACACCCCCGACCGGCCCCTCCACCGGGGCGACTGACGAGCGGGACTCAGCGGCCCGAGGACACCCCCGACCGGCCTCTCCACCGGGGTGACTGACGAGCGGGACTCAGCGGCCCGAGGGCACCCCTGACCGGCCTCTCCACCGAGGTGACTGACGAGCGGGACTCAGCGGCCCGAGGACACCCCTGACCGACCCCTCCACCGGGGTGACTGACGAGCGGGACTCAGCGGCCCGAGGACACCCCTGACCGACCTCTCCACCGGGGTGACTGACGAGCGGGACTCAGCGGCCCGAGGACACCCCCGATCGGCCTCTCCACCGAGGTGACTGACGAGCGGGACTCAGCGGCCCGAGGACACCCCTGACCGACCTCTCCACCGGGGTGACTGACGAGCGGGACTCAGCAGCCCGAGAACGCCGCCGGTCACGGCTCTGGGGAGGGATGACTGACGAGCGGAACTCGGCGGTCCGCGCCCGACCCGCCCGGAAATCCGTCAAAACGGCCCGATCTATCCGATGGCGGTGTCGCCGAGAGAGAGCGCCGTGCCGACGCGGCCGAGTGTTATTGATGACGCGCGCGGACGGGCGGCGAGCGGCGGACGCCGCCGTCCGGAAACAAAGAGCTCGTCGCCGGCGTCGCGCCGATGTGACGTCATTAGTCGGCGGCAACTTTAATGGTTCGTTAGCGCGAGCGGGCGTCGGGCATCAGGACCGACGAGTTATTACAGTCGTCGTTCGTCGCGCTCAATTGCCCAGTCGGCTCGGCGCCGAACTTGAGGACAGAAGCACGAGCAGTCATTCAGTCAGACATTCCGAAACTCTGCTGGAGAAGAGAGAGGCAAGAACGAGTGTGGGCGTGGTTCAATGGGTTCACTTACAGCTACTGCACTCACCAGGTGCAAATGCACGTATGTTGCATACGGATGCGTTATATTGCACATGGATGCATCCTATCTACATCCTGAGGAAGGAAGGTACTCTGACTGATTTACCCGACAAGTCGCTGAGATGGAAGAAATATGAAGTTGATTTGTATTAATTATGTTTGCACTATCTAGGCCATTTCAACCCTGTGCTTTCAGAGTATTAGGAAGACCCTTGCGTGTGGTGTTCTGAACGAGACTGGCACGGCGCCGGAGGTCGGCGGCCGGCCGTCACCGGTATCTCACCTGAGTGATCTCCTCTGCGACGAAACGTCCCTTGCTCTGGCCAGCCTGCAGCTGCAGGCTGCCCCAGTGCCAGTTGGCCAGTGTGGGCAGTGGGTCGCTACAGAGCGCCACCTCCAGCACCGCCTCGCCACCCTGCTCAGCCATCACCTTGGCCGGCTGCTGGCGCCGCAGCACCTGAGGCGGACCTGTGGGCAGCGCGTGGCCGGCGTCAGCACCCTCCCCGGCCGTTGTCAGCACCCTCCACGACCGATTTCAGCACCCTCCCCGGCGGCCCAACAGCCTCACAGACCGCGCAGTGGCCACAAAAGGTTCATTAGGAACTAGTGTATGGGTGCTCGCCAGATGCAACACCGAAGAGCTGGTACTAGAAATTGTACTAAGGATTTAGTTTAAACCGCGGGCCGAGAGCCTACTTAGTCCTTAGTATGTCCTCGGCGCCATTGTCTAATCCAGTGGCTTCAGTAGCTTCGCTCCATTATATGTTATAAAATCTTGCAGAACCGTTTTAGCTATGAGCGAATCCAGATGTTTTCGAGCAGATGACGTGATGAGAGTTAATATATCACCGGTTAATATATCATTGCCAGCAGGCTGTTCTATGGTTCAAGGCCTTTTAATTAGGAATAATGTTTGACCACCTGTGCCACCATCAGTTATATGTTTAGTACCGCGATAAAAACTGATGCAAAGAACTATTTGGCCTAACCGAGTACAAATGAATACAAAACAAATAAAGCGTCTGGCACGCCGGCTAATACATGCTCGATTGTGTCACATTACCCATTTAATAATTCGTTCACAGCGAGGCTTAGTCTGAGCCGGCTGCGTTGGCAAAGCTCTGGCTGCCATTTCCGTCATCACTGGGCGACATTTCCGTGCGATTCTCGTACGGTCAGGTCGGCCAGCGGACACTGCCCGCCGCCGGGGGAGGTGGGTGTCTCTCTCCCAGACTGGGCTCTGAGGTAGCGTGCTGTGGCCACGACACATCGGGTTCATCGCCGGTCATGTCTAGCCAACCAGCCCTCTGCATGAGAGGTGGGGGAGGGCGACGGGCAGTTTTCGCCAGTGATTGAGTCCCTTCCCCCGATCTGCATGGCAAACTCCCTGGTGGCTTTAATACCGCTATTTCGCCTTATACCGGGCGGCAGCCGTCAACTTTGTCTGTTTGCCCGGGGTATTTGCATAATATTAGTGACGATTCCATGCCACCTGAGTGACAGTGGCGCCAATAACGGCCGGCGCCGGCCTGTTGACGCAGAGGACCGCCGCAGTCCGACCGTGGGCAGATCTCGATCGAGAACGCAATATCGCCGGCCAGAAGGCGCCAGCGCGGATGCGGTGTCGAGCCACCCGGCGGCTGCACCTCTCGCAACAAAGCCCCGCGCGCCGACGCCGACAATACCCGATGACACACGATCTCGTTCGACAATGACGGCACGGATCGAGCCGGATTTGTCACGACATCCGCGAACGTCAAATAAACGCGTCGTGATTGGCCGGCGGCGCCGTTTTCCGGCTCCTCGAGCCGGCGACACGTAATTTAGAGCGGCCCGATAGATGGCCAGTGCGCGGTGTTACAGATAACGGTGACGGCAGCACGAGACCTATGACGTCACTGGTGCCCTCTGCCGGACTTGGATGCGTCGGATGGTGGCTTAATTTACAGAAATTGGGAGGCAGAATGGCCGTGGCCCGAGGCGATCAGCCAGTGAGCGGAGCTCGAGGCCCGCCCCCGCCGCTGCAGTCCATTATCATAAATCCTCGTTTATAGATCCCAGCCAATTAATGTACCCTTCCAATGCCAGGATCGTTAGACCATATATCGATATGTCGCAACGCTTGTGCCTACCGTGTACCTAAACAATTTACTTAATCCTATGTAGCCTTGAATCTGTCGTGAACCTACGTGTAGTTTGTAATAATTAATATGTTCAGCCGATGACCACTAAGGGAAGTTTCTGGAAGCTCATTAATATAAGGGTGGCAGACTCTCCAGCCAGAGCTCTAGCGCCCCAGCGGCGCGAACCGGCGGTTGATTGGCTGTTCAAGCCGACGCGGCGCGACGCTCGGTGGCCGGCCCGCTCAACGGCCAGGCAATGCGGTGCAGTCTACACAGAGCAGAGACTTCGACGCCCGTTTACCGGTGGAAGACTCTCCGAGCTGGCGCAGGGTTGAGCTTGGCAGAAGCGTTCCTGACTGTTGAATTGATTGGGTCTGCCAAACAAGCTGTTCGATTCTTAAGATTAAGGTCAAAGAGGATTGTCAAAATCAGCTTTCTGTCACCAGAAAACGCAGAACAACGGAAATATTACGACTCTCGCAACCCTTGCTTCGGCCCACAGCGAAAAAGCGCCATAGCTTGAGGTACTCACGTGATGCGGAAACCACCATGATATAGTCGTGGGTGCGGCTGTTTGTTATCGCGAAATGTCTGACAACAGTTTTCATGAAAATACATTTTTGTCCCAAGGTTTTTGTCTCTTATAGAGACAAGTTGTTCAGTGCGTTAGCGAGGAACATTATTCACATAGACAAGACGGTAGTATTAGCCTTATTCCTCGGAGAAAACCAGGGGAATGGAAACATAGTCGGGTTGATATTTTGGCAACATGCCTTTATCAAAACAACAACAGAAGTGAATTCCAACAACAGTGAAACAAGTGAACATTCAGAACAGTGAACAGTGAAAATTCAGAAGTGAATTTACTTTTGCTATTGTTTCGATAAAAGGATGTTGCCGAAATATCAACCCAACTATATCTCCATTCTCCTGGTTTTCTTCAAGGAATACGGCTAGTACCACTGTCTTATCTTAAAGAGGCAAGTTAACTAGTGCATCACTGAACTCAATGCTATCTCGTATGCCTCAAGTTCATCGACTATTTACAAGTGCAAGATACAACAAAAATACGCACTGCACCGTGGCTAACACGGTGCACGCATGCACATCGACGGTCCAATTCCATGGGCGTGGACCCTCCTGGAGTCCTGGATCAACACCATCGCAAGCAAATCCAACTACGGACAAACCACGCATCACTGCGCCCAGATCACCGCCTAGATGGTGCCCCCGCACCCGTCTGCCCCTCCCCCTTCCGCGGCCCGGTGGCCGGTCACTCACCGATGACCTCGACCTCGACCGTGTCGCCCTGGACGCGCCGCTCGTTGCCGTTGATGACGTTCTTGGCGACGCACACGTACTGGCCCTGGTTGGCGTAGGTGATGTTGTGGATGCGCAGCAGCTGGCTGGTGCCGCGGATGAACACGGTGCCGTCGGCGTCTGGCAGCCGCTGCAGCCACTGGTAGCTGGGCGGCGGACTGCCCTCGGCCTCGCACGCCAGCTCGGTCGTGTTGTACAGGCCGACCGTCACGTGGTGCTGCGGCTGCACGCGGTAGATAGACGGAGCGTCTGCCGGCGACGGGCGACGTCGATGCGGGGCACGGCGTCCGGGCCGGGGGCCGTCGTGCGTTGTGAACACGCTCACCAGCCAGGCACGGCGTCCGGGCCGGGGCCGTCGTGCCGTGTGAACACGCTCACCAGCCAGGCAAGGCGTCCGGGCCGGGGCCGTCGTGCCGTGTGAACACGCTCACGAGCCAAGACGCGCACAAACACACACAGGCACACGCATGTTCTTGGCCGATTTAGTTATCTGCATGGATGTAGAATATATATATATATATATATATATATATATATATATATATATATATATATATATGTGTGTGTGTGTGTGTGTGTGTGTGTGTGTTTATATGCGATAAAGTGATCAATGGTGGTGGTCTTTTATTCTAGACAGAACCAGGTTTTTGGAATCTCGACACCGGTGTAACGGATGGCAAACGTGAGCAAGCGCCAAAGACGAGCTACATAATATCAGTGTGCCGTGACCATTCAGCTGGCTGCGAGACAGCCGCACCAGTGAGTACGGCCTACTGCAGGTCTGAGTACGGTCTGCTGCACGAGTGAGTACGGTCTGCTGCAGGTCTGACGGACCGTCGGCGCCCCGTTTTGCTCACATTTAACGTCGAGCGTGGTGCTAAGCGGGTCGCTTTTGCCCACCGAGTTGCCCGCTTCGCACTCGTAGGTGCCCGAGTTCTTCTTGGTGACCGGCCGCAGCTCCAGCGTGTCCACATAGAAGGTGTCGGTGCGGCCCGTCTCCTTAGAGATGAAACGCCAGAAGACGTTGGCCGGAGGGTTGGCGTCGACCTTGCAGCGCAGCACGACCGTGTCGACGCTCTCCTCGACGTCGCGCTCAGGCCGGCCGAGCAGCTTCACCTCCGGGGGGTCTGTCCAGCAGCACAAGGCCAGTGGCCGTTAAAGCTCGGGGAGCAGCTTCACCTCCGGGGGGTCTGTCCAGCAGCACAAGGCCAGTGGCCGTTAGGGCTCGGCGGGCAGCTTCACGTCCGGGGGGTCTGCCCAGCAGCACAAGGCCAGTGGCCGTGAGGGCTCGGCGGGCAGCTTCACCTCCGGGGGTCTGCCCAGCAGCACAGGGCCAGTGGCCGTTAGGGCTCGGCGGGAAGCTTCACCTCCGGGGGGTCTGTCCAGCAGCACAAGGCCAGTGGCCGTTAGGGCTCGGCGGGCAGCTTCACCTCCGGCGGTCTGCCCAGCAGCACAGGGCCAGTGGCCATTAGGGCTCGGCGGGAAGCTTCACCTCCGGGGGTCTGTCCAGCAGCACAAGGCCAGTGGCCGTTAGGGCTCGGCGGGCAGCTTCACCTCCGGCGGTCTGCCCAGCAGCACAGGGCCAGCGGCCCTGAGGGCTCGGCGGGCAGGGCCGCCAGGGCAAGGGGCACAGAGGGAGAGGAGGGGACGATGACGGAGAGAGGCAGAGAGCGAGGAGAGGGAAAATAGAGCTGCATGAAGGTAGAATGGAATGGCAGCTGTTGAGCTGGCTTGTAGGAAATGTGCTACAGCGTCGCCACATGTTTCATAAAACGACTCACAAATATGCACAATATATTGCGCTTTGTTTCCAACAGTTTGCACGAGATACAGAAACCCGTGCCGCAAGAAATCATTATTTGGAAGTTTGCTGAAACATAAAAACCGCTACTTGACTTCTCGAAACATTCTGCAGTATTCTGGAGCATTTGTTGCGGAATGATTACATGGAACGGTACTGACATCAACGACAGAGGGTAACGGTAGTGTGTGACAGACATAGCCTTACGCCGCCATCCGTCCAGCCATCGAAGTCGTCATCGAAACCGTCCGGCATCGGATCCGGCGTCAGTCAGCCGTCACCGACGGCCAGTACGGCCACGTCCCATCAGCTAATGCGGCCGTCCTGACGTGCCCCGACCGTGCCCGGATTTCAGGCCGTCCCCGGGGCCACCCCTCCCCTCCCCCGCCTCCGAGACGGGTCTGGTTCGCCGCTGGGAGGCTGGCGCCGGCGGCGGCTGGGGTTGGTCGGCGCCGCTCACCAGCGCCGCCGGTTTATCGGCCGTAGCCGCCGCGAAGTTCGGCGCAGTCGAGCACGGGGCCGCAGACAGCCGAACTCAGCGACCGAGGCCGGACGCCGCGTGGACAGGGAACGGCGCGCTGACGACTCGCGCGCTTCAGCGCCGGGGTACGGAGCCAGGATCGGCCGGCGCAGATCGCTCGGACGCGCCACGCGTTCGGACAGCGCACCGACGTTGGCGGGCGCGCCGGCCAGGCAACGCTGACGGCCGTGAGATCCGATTGGGACTGGGACTGAGACTGGGACTGAGACTGAGACTGAGACTGAGACTGAGACTGAGACTGAGACCGAGACTGGTGTCACCGCGGCGGCGACCGGGCGCTCACCGCCAGGCTCGGCCACATGTTCCGGTCGGCGACGGAGCCGGCTGCTACCATACGCCCACGCCCGCCTGCGGGCAGTTCAGCAGCCGCAGTTCCATGTGACACTGCGGCTCGCCCGCCCCCCCCCCCCCTCCCCGGTCCCCGTCCCCTCTCGCCAGGACAGTGTGCACTGTCAAAGTTCGTCGAAGCGCTGCTGGACCGTACACGCAGTAGCGAGCGAAGATTTCGCAAGTTTGCTGGAACCGTATCGCTAGGTGCCGCCAAGTCGGGACGGATTTCGAAGGCTTTCGAACATGTGACCGCGAGTTCGGTGGAAAATTTGCATGTCATGAAGCGGAAACCAAGAGCCCATCTATCTGAATATTTCAGATAACGATAACGAAATACTCTTGCATCCAAGGGAAATTCAAGCTGTTCAATATGTTCCTAACCCCTGTTGCCAAGGACACCTGCTTTTATGATTATGGCGACGGAGATCACCTAACTAACTTATGTCGAGGAGATTGGGCAGACATCACAGGTTAGCGAAACTGATTTATATTTACATTTGCCATAGTTATTTTGCCATTTTGCCATAGGCCATTTTGCCATTTTGCCATAGGCCATTTTGCCATTTTGCAATTTTCCCAAAGGCCATTTTGCCATTGATAAGATATGAAAAAAGTGACGGGAGCTGAACCGATTTTAAACGCCATGCATAGCAAGGGTCAAGTCTGTGATCCCGTGAAGCCGTCTACATCTCTATCGCATTTATATTTGTAGGGAGAATAATAGAATGGATGCCGTATCAGACGTGCGGCAACGTTGCCCGTAGTGTAACGTTCAATAAGATATGATATGCGATATGATTTTGATACGATATCATGTTCAGTACGACATGGTGTTCTTGTTTTGTCGTAAGCACAAATATGAACAATATCACCTGCACTGCCTGGCGGCCTCATTCAAAGGCGGCAGCGCCCAACATCAGACTGCTCGGCGGTCTGATTGGCAACGGACGGCTTGAGCGCCGCCGCGGCGCGAGTGCAGCCGCACTCATCTGGTCGGCGCAATGGAAGGCCCGCGCACGGAACTGGGGAAGAAATACTGACACTGCTTTGGGACATTGTGGAATTGTGAATAGCACCCTGCTGGCGAATACTATTCACTAGTTAGCACTATACGACTATAGCTACACATAAATACATGTATAGGTATACATGTAGTGGCGTATAAAGGTATTTGTCAATATTTATAACGACTTCGTCAAACATTCATACATCCTCAGCGGCACAGGCCTAGAATTCAAGGTCCTAAATATTGTATTCCATAGCGCTGTAGACACAAAAAGGCGGTGGCTTCTGGCATTATAGTTCTGCTGATTGCTTACGTAAATCAGCCAGTAGCCTGTCGTATCGACGGGCTTCATATCACCCAGGCAGAAATGCCTGCGCCCCGAAGCATTACTTTGACACCCTGACATGGTTGCGTTTGGCAGGAAGTTTGCCCGCAGTCTTTAGCCTTAAAAGTACCCTGTCGTTGGGCTTCACAGCCACAGGTCAGAAAACAGAGACAGGATTCATGAGAACTTTGTCGCTCTCTCTCTCTCTCTCTCTCTCTCTCTCTCTCTCCTCTCTCTCTCTCTCTCTCTCTCTCTCTCTCTCTCTCTCTCTCTCTCTCTCTCTCTCTCTCTCTCTCTCTCTCTCTCTCTCTCTCTCTCTCTCTCTCTCTCTCTCTCTCTCTCTCTCTCTCTCTCTCTCCTCTCTCTCTCTCTCTCTCTCTCTCTCTCTCTCTCTCTCTCTCTCTCTCCTTCTCTCTCTCCTTCCCTCATTCAATATCAAAATCCACCCACCCGCTGGCCAGAGGAGGCCATCCAAATAAAAAACCTATTAACGGGCCTATTCCATCCCGAACACACTGAGGACAAAAAAGCATGGATGGAGACAAAAAAAGTGCAGATCGAGTGACGGAAGCCATTTGTACAATTAATGTGTTGTGCAAACACGGCACCGCCGGGCCGCAGAGACCATTAGCGACATCGCTGAGAGGAGCAGGTGAGACAGTTGGCAGCTGTCGGCGCAGTTAGTCCCCGCCAACGCATCAACAGCTGCCAGTTATTCGTCTTTGTGAGGAAAGGCACGGGATGAGAATAAGTCCTCGAAGCGGGATTTCTCTGCCGCATTAGACACTGAAACACATTTCTCATTACC